GCTTCAATTTAAGTTCAAATGTAGACAAAACCAAGGAAAAGACGAATCATTTCTTGATTACAACCTCAAACATTGCATCTCTATCCTTGCCCATGTTTTGTCCCTGCCCCCTTTTGCATGGTTCAATTCGATTCAAATCCTGTAGATTTTACTTGAGAATGGCATTTCGATGATGAATTTTCCTCTACAGTTTTCTTTAATTTAAACCAATCCCAAGGTTAAAAATTGCCTATGATATGAAATTCGAATGGGCCACTTTCAATGCAGCTCTGAAACTTTCTTGGATTACTTGGATACACAACTTGCTTTTGTTGAAGAGAAATGCAAGCAATCGTTGTTTCTAGAATTTGTTCAATGGACATTGGCATTCATGCCTAGTTTCTCGTATGCCTCCCTTCAATGTCTATCTTGCCTCACCACAAGTACCCATCAAGGTCTCTGAACCATGTTCCCACATGCCCAAGCCTGTGACCAATTGCACGTGTGACATGTTCAGCCACCACCACAACCAAACCTAAGTCCAGCCAGAACCAGGTAGTCATCGAGCCACGGCTCGTGACTACGTACACCAGACCTGGTCACATCCATTATCCCTGGCCCTCCCTTACCGTATGACCCAAGTTTGCAATCAACATGGTCTCACTGGACAAGGGTGGCCAGTGGCTGCACTAAAATTTTTCATTTCCCTAGTCAAGGCCGTAACCGTTGCAGCTGATTCACATATGTGGTTCGAACCATGCTAGCAGGCTATGTTGGGTACATTTTAGTTGATCTGTTGTCCGGAGTATACCATTGGGGTATTGACAATTATGGTGATGCGTCAACTCCAATTTTTTGTTCACAAATGAAGGATTCCAGGGGCACCAAAAATGGCCCTGGACTATCACCAGGCGCCAGTTTACTAACAATTTACATGCATTGGCTCGTAGCATAACTCTTGAAGTGCTTCCAATAGATATTCTTTGCAATGACCCTTTTATTCAAGGCTTTGTTAGCATCTGTGACGGTTGCATCATATTCAGCCAACAATTTCATGCTTGGTCTTATGGCACCAAGAGCAAGCTCCCTCCGTTGGTGGTGGCGCTACAAGATGCCGGTGTGCTTGTCTCACGGTCGCAACATTCTGCACACCATAGACCACCTTATAACAGTAACTATTGCATCGTGAATGGAGTTTGCACTGAATTTTTGGACAAAAACAAGGTTTTTGAGACGCTGGAAATGGTTATATTTTTCAAGTTCAGGGTGAGACCCAGGTTTGGAGTGAGCCTGACGCTCAATGGACAGAAGAGACTACAGATCATTGAATTTTTTCCGCTCCTGTAATAAGAAATATAAGCAAACATTCAATGTTTCAAATCATGGACTTTTCTGCTGCAACAGCATTGCACTTCATTGTTAAAATAGCAAAGCAAAAATTCATCCCCGACATATGATCGGGCTCAATGTAACTGATTAAATGCAGTCTCCCTCTTTCTCTTTCCCCTCATTTTAATAGGTCTGATTTGGCTGTAAGAAGTTGAATGTTACTAGAAATAAGAAGGCATGAAAAATAGAAAAAGGAATACATTTCCCATACATGTTTTTATAATCATGCTGAACAAGAATTACGAAGGAGAAACAAACGAAAGTCTTCTTTCTCTTTATCTTTGTGAGTTCACATAAACCATTTGCAAGTTAAAACACACTTGAATTTGGGAAAAGAAAAGCGAGGAAGAAAAAAAAGGGACAGATTAATGTTAATTATCAGCACCAAATGAGGAGATGGAGGATACACAGGGGAACCAATATCGGTGTTTGCCATCCGCATGGCCATCATCAATCATCGCAAGACCTTCCTGCACATCAACCGAAAAGGATATTGTTAACCCCATGAATCCAAATGTAACAGTAACATCATATACATGCCAGTTGTTGCAAGAACTTACATCTAATAAGGTATCAAGGGCATCAATAGCACGCCCATGTGTCCAGGTAAGCCGTCTCTCTACCTCATCAACAGTCACATAGCCTTGAGCCTAAAAGAGAAACAAGTGGAACATCAATTAAGCAATTATTTGCTTAGGGTTACTTAGTTCCAAAAATACAAAACAGAAGTATGAGAAACCTGTGCTGTATGCTAGCTCCAGAATTTCATTATGGTCTTTCTTCAACTCAGTTGGAACAGATCGAACAAGCTTTTTCTTTCCAGCCAAAATCACCTCAAATCCACTACCCAATGTCTGGAAGAAACAAGAAGTAAATTTTTATGACGTGTTAAAATAGCAGCACAAAAATTATATAAGTTGCAGTTGCATAAGACAACTCCGTTACAGACCATGCAATAGAAAGTCAGACTAGCAAGCAGCAATAATGGCACTAACAATTCAACATATGTTCAAGGAACAATGTAGCTTAAAATAAAGGAAACCCAATCTGCACTCTCATGCTCATTCCTCTTGCTCATCCTGAGGGGTGGAAATGGAGAAAAGGAACGTGCAATGCTGGCAAACTGATTAATCAACATGAAACGAATATGAAGTAACATTACAACCATACCTTCAGCTTACTTATAGCACGCAAACAGTCATCCTCAGATACAGCTTCACGATCATGTTTTCGTTTCTGACGAAGCAATTTGCAGAGTTCCTGCAAGTCGATCAAACCTCCATTAAGAGGCCTAGTCGCCAAGCATATCTCAACAATTTGCACCCCTGTCTAGCCAAGTATCCAAGCCTTATTATAAGCACTCTACCAAGTCTTGACACAAATGCCTTTCATGCTAAGGTTAAAACTTCCAAATGCATAATAAGAACTATAAAAAATAAAAAAATAAAATAAATGGAGAATTTACAGAGCATGAACTTATGTATCATGCAGAGAGGCTTGCAGTTGCATTATCCGCAAATAATAACTTTCACAATCTTAGAACAGTGAACAAAAAAATGATCCAATCAGAAAAAAGTTGAACAGAATTAAAACATTCTATAAATATACCCAAAAAACAGAGACATAAAGCTCACATCTTTGCCCTAAATAGATAAAATAAAATCAATTTAAGCTAAAAAATTCAAACTTGAAAAAAAAAATTCTAAAAAAGAGATGAATTTTGGATACCAAACCAAGTTCATAATAGAAATCACCAATCCCTAAAAGCTCAGCCCAAAATCCCTTATTTGAAGCCAAAGGATCCACTCCCACTTTGGCACACATTTCATGAAATTGTGACCTAAATGACGGATTTTTACGAATATCATTCTGCCAAAAAAAAAATCAAATTAGAAATCAAAATTAAAATTACAAAAAAAAAAAAAATTGAGAGGAAAAATTTGTCTCCTTTAACCTTGTGTTTTCGAGCGAATTCTTCAAGCTGAGAACGAAAGGTGGCGAGCTGTTCTTTCATGAGATCGGTTCTTAACTTGGCTACATTTTCTCCCAGTAATCGATATTGATCCTGAAATTGAAAAATTAAAAACAATAATTAAACGGTAGATTTTGTAGAATGTAATTGAGATTAATTTGAATAATATTAAATTAGTATTAAATTGGGTTCGAACAAACCCTAGCGGCTGCCGCTGTTTGAAGGCCTCCGATTCCTGGTCTTCTTCTCATTTTCTTCTTCGAAAAACAAATGATTTGAAAATTCCATTTTATTTTTTTTTTAGCTTTTCCGATGAAGAGTTGACAAAACTATAAAAATAATTGATGGAAAGAATCAACCGATCAGAGTGGCGCAGCGGAAGCGTGGTGGGCCCATAACCCACAGGTCCCAGGATCGAAACCTGGCTCTGATATGAGAGCAAGCTTCTCTTCCACTCATCCTTTTTTACTTTTTCTCTTTCCTTTGGGCCGTTTATTAAAGAGTTGGGCTTTGAGCTTTTTCTAACCCACTTTTTGGAACTCCTAGCACATTAATTTCATTTGGGCCGTTACTGAACTATTCGATACTATTGTTTCCACTTGTTTTACACTAAACTAAATATGCAAGAAGTTGAATTATTGTCCAAACTTGAAAATCTACTCTCAAATTTTGAAAGGGATTGATAAAAAATTAAAATTGGTTGAATAGTTTGGTCTATAATTTTTATACCCATTTAATTTCAAATCAAAATCTTAGGATAAATGATTTAAAACCTAAGTTTGATCCGAATTCACATATATATAATTTTTTTTTATATATTTTTGAATTATATACAATTAGTTCATATATAACAAATTATAAATTAAAAATATATATTTATTAAATTAATTCTCCTTTTATATATTTTTAATTTTTAATTTTTCTATATATGTGTATTGAAATAATTCTGTTAAACTTAATTTAATCACTTTTTTTAATTTTATTATATAAATTAAGTTTAATGAGTGGATTTGAATTTTATTGTTTTAATTTAGGTCGATTTTGAAAATTTTTTAAATTCAAAATTTTGGACAAGCCTAAGTAAATAATATAAGCTATTAATATTAAGTATAAAACTTAAACTCTTTACATCAAATTAGACATAGCAATTGAATATCTTTATCATGAAAAAAATTGAGAATTTATATATTCGTATTGTGTTTTACACAAAATTATATGTCATAATTTGTATCCAATATGAAATATATTTTTTTTATTTTTTAAATCCATATATAATTTTATTAAAATTTTAAACTGTGTTACCTTCATTTCTTATTATTTTTTATATCATATTTTTAATTATCAGATCTATATTAAATTTGTCCTTTTATTATTGTTTTTCATAATTATCTCGAATTTATTTCAACTTAATTAATCTCTTTGCTACAATTTTAAAAGCACACATTCTAATATTTTTACATCGATTTAGTGCATTCAGTGTTTCAGGATAATTGAATTTTAATCAATTGTGTTTCCTTTTCTATTAATGTTTCAACATATTAATGAATAGCGATTAAATCCATCATTTCTATAAATACAAGAATGAATAGTGTAATCTGGCTTTTAAATTTTAAGCGTCCACATATCTTTCTTGTAAAGAATGAAATGAAAAAATGCTTCATTCGGAAGATCGATGAGAAGCATTTTTTTTTTTTAACAAAGAAAGATGCAGCCTATGGAAAATATAATAATTAAATATCATTTTTTAAAATAACTGCACGAAGAACTACACCATCGGAGCTTATTCATTGAAGTGGTTCTTTGACACTGGACACATAAGCTTCCACAACGACTTTTAAATCAAAAATCAAGTTATCTGGTCAATTTGTAATGGAACAAATGCATGTTTGGTGAACAATGATCATGAATATAATAAGATAAAATGATATTATAAATAAGATTAAATTAAATGTCATCTTATTTTGTGTTTGATCTGCGTAAAAATTAGTATAATTTTATTTATTGTCAAAATTATCTTTTTTCAAAATTTATATAATCTAAGTTAATGATGTAATTTTTAAGAGTATAATGGATGATATAATTTAATCCCATAAATTAAAAATAATATCATTCAATACCGAGCGGATGAACTACTAATCTTTCTTGCAATCCTAATCTCTCTCTCTTTTTATGATCACAAACCAAATTTGATACAGGGACGATTATCATCCTATGCGACAAACATGACCAAATTACTTGAGATTACCTTGGAAAGGTTTTTGATTAGAAATCAGATTGATTCATCATTAACCAAACATAAGATGATGCAGAACTGAACTCAGATGCCACTTAAAGAGGTCAAAGAAAAAGTAATTTCAATGATGAAGAAAAGAAATATGTGAAAAGATATGGATCAAACCACCTTACATCAATTAAAGGTACTTATAATTCTTTGTTCATATATAATCTTAGCTTGTCACAGAGACCACAGCATAGAACAAGATGAACCATTAGAAACATGCACTTTTCGATATCAAGACATCCATGATTGCAACTCAAGCATACACATTGACTAACATTTTAAATGCAGTAGGTCGGGGCACTTGTGGGTCGATATATGAAAGGTCTGACAGTGTGAAAATAACCTGATGGACGATTATAGGTGAACTTGACTCCGGTGCTGCCCTCCCCGAGATGGTTGCAGTGATCATGGAAACTACTGATAGGTCGTGCCAAGCATGCATCCCACCGGTCACTCTCAGGCATTGTTTCAGCCACTGTGTATATCCCCTTAGCATTTGTGAAAGCCTGATAGTTCACCACTTCCCCGGATTTTGTGATGCAAAGAACAGCAACCTCAGCACCTGCAAAAAAACAGTTGTTGTAGACAAACATAAGACAATCTGATCAAATTTCAATGATGATTCATAAATTTCTAGATTCTGTTTGAAATATTAGTTAAGATTTCCATATAAAAACCCCAACTTTGCATGGTTAAAGTAATCAGGAAATTGCCTAGATGAACAAATCTTATACTGTCCTTTAAAGAATCCATGGCATAGTACAACTTGAAAGACGAAACCAACACAAAAATAGATCGGGCTATCAGCATTCACCAGCACTGGTAATTGGAGTATCAAGTCTGAGAGCATTGAACCATCCTTAAGACAAAGAAACACAACGGAAGATAGGACTCGTTAAGGAATGCAACAGGTAAAAAAATCACATTTCAATGCCACCATTTCAGTTATTCGTTCAAAAAAATTACAAAGTTCGCTTTCATCTATGCGTGCAGTATTGAAGACTCATTTCTACAATCACTTAAATAAGACCTTAAAACTTCAAGACAGTTATATCGATTGCAAACAGCTTTTTCTTCGTTGTGGGAAAATGAATAAGGATTTATTTACAAAATAACAGACACCTTTTTCAATCAGTTAGAAAGTTTCATCAAGTATCCATTCTTTGATTGATAGCCACTTACTTCACCAAGCAAAAATGAAAAAGAAGGATCGTTTTGGACCGCGATGAAGTTGGTGTCATTGTTGTATCACAACATATAGAAACCCTAGATCTGTCCTTCACAATTCGAACTAACTTTAAAAACAAAGAAAGAACAAAGCGAACATGGACAGCCGCCAACAGTCACAGGAAGAATGAAAACTAAACCAAAGATTACGAACATATCCACAATTTTTTTTTTTCGGTTTAAGCCCATAACAAAATTGCTTACATAGACTTTTGGAGGATGCAACCTACACAAAAAGGATTCAGACAACAGCAGTCAGCTTAGAGACCCTTTCTAACACTATAATAGCTGAGCTGTTTGCAGCTCAATTAGCCACAGGTACAACTATGGAGCAAGCCATAGAAGCAATTTACACAAAGTAAATCAAAGGAAAACCACTCAAATAGACAAACTGCAAGACACAGTGAGCTAATCAGATCATCACAAGGTAATCTTTTTATTGTCTTTTCCAAAATCTAAGCATAAATTGAATCAATCAGATGCAGTTATATAAACAAAGTCAAAAAGACCAACCATAACCACTAATTAACCAAAGAAGGAAGAAACTTTATCAATACCCAGAAACTATAAACCCACCGACACATTAAAGAATCATAATTCCAACTCAAAACCCACTTCAAATTTCAGCTAAAAGACCAACCTTGACCAATCAAACAACATAATTAAAAATTATAAATAAAGAAAGAGAGAAAGATAGGAACCTTCCAAAACATGATCTTCGGGGCCAATGGAAGAATCAGCACAAACATCACAGACAACTCTTCCATGAATCTCACCAGTCCAAGATTTGACACCTGAGACTAAGAAGACAGCTAAGACAACAAAACCCAGAACCAGATTGTTGTTCTTTGATTCCATCGGATGTGTCTTTTTAAGTTGAGTAATCAAAAGTGTAACCAGAAAGGAGAGCAGACAGCGTTATCCAGCAAGACACGTATCTACTTATATGTAAATTTTAGAAGTGAAAGCTAGTATTTAGGGGATTTAGTGGGTCCCCCTAGACTCTGACTTCTTCAATATTTACTGTATGCTTGGAGCTGTCCTGTTGAATCCCTCCGGTTCTTGCTCTAAGAAAGCCCATCTTGGCTTCTTTTTTCGCGGGGCCCATCTCACTACCTCAAAAAGCTCATGGCAAATTGTAATCTAATTATATCTGGACCACCAACCAGGTTTGATAAGGATTTTTTTTTGGTACTGATTTCCTATCGGCTCGACACAATGTTCTTTAACAGTACTATGGATGTTTTTAAAATGAACTACAATATGTTGGATGGTTGGATTAGCAATGGCCTCGTAACATCAATCTTCTGTTCTTCCTTTTGTTGCAGCGGTTTCTCAGTTTTCTTTAGAGCTTGATTTTGGTTACATGAAACATATGGTAAAAGAAGAAAGGCAGTAATCTACAAGAAGAACGTAAACCATCCTCCCATTCTAAACAACAGTGGTTTTGACTGAACAACATTCCAATGCAATTTGATATGTTGATAAGGCCTCAACCAGTTTACATACAACTTGAACTGATAATCAAGGAAATTTTTATGTATCTCCAATAACAATTTTTTGATCATTCGGATCATTGATCCACATTTCTTAGCCACTTCAACACTTGGACCATGACCATCACTTCATATGTGGGTTTACCCTGGCATCATACTCATGAAGCAGAATGATTACACAATTTCAGTCAAGTAAATTTGTTTAAAATGGACACCTGAAACTTTCCCAAGTCATCATCAGAAAAAGAAAATTTGTGTCAGGTTATTATCTTGTAGTTGGCTCATGAAATTTGTTTTTGGAAACAGACCTAACAAGTGGCAAGATTGAGAATTAAAAGGAATGGAAATGAGGACAGAAAAGCTTCATAATTCTGATAATGAGAGAGGTAGTTAAGAAATGCGAAAAATATATGTCTGCTTCTATATTTAGCAAACCTGAAAAAGTTATTTTTGGCTATTGGCTTCAATGGATTTGGACAGAGTAAAAGCAAATAAACATTATGAGAAATTTTACTTTGAGCCTTCCTGAGGACCAGACAGGTTTTGGTTTCCTTCAGGAGCTAGGATTCCGAGAGCTCAACTGCCAATTTTCTTAATACTTGAGCCTATTAAACATTTGGTTTAAGAATTTGGTTGTTGTCATGACAAGGAAGACCAAAATGAACTGTTTTTCCTGTTGCATGTCAGAAGAGAGACTAAATAGAAGGTCAACAAAGAAGAGCATGAAGGAATACAATGACACAAAAACTATGGTTTCATTTGCCAATATTGCATTCAAGAGTGGTACAATTTTTGCCCTGAATGGATTTGAGAATATGCTTTATTTTCCTTTAGTTTTGTTGATACCTTTCCTTTTTTATATATTTCTTGTGTCAAAAATAATTCCCATATCTTTGTTTTGTCACCAGCATGTAATGGAGGAACATATTTTTGCATATATAGTTTCTGACCCTTTTTTTTTTATTCAACCTCAATTCAATTCAATTCAAATCATAAATGGTATCCAAAAAGAAAATGTTAGTTTAAAGATGGTGTTCTTCAATTTTCTAGATGTTTTTTAAAATCATGAAGACAATCTAATTGATGAATTGACCATTGGAATAGATGTTAACTATTGCCAAGCCAGGCTCAGCTTCATTCCTATATTCTTGGTCACCCTGTTGAGGTTTCATATCATCATGAAAAAGAATAATCATTGAGTTGATTTTATATTTTGGTTATGGTACAAAGATGACAAGAAAGGGTTAGATCTGTGAGCCCCAGATTGTTGATCTTTTGAAACCTTTTCATGCCTTTGGCCACGACACGTTTCAACTTTTAACAAAGTTCTTTTCTCTTATGGCTGAAGACTTCGAGTGGTTGATTCATGGTTTGAACAAAATTTTCTGTTTTGGCAGATAGCAGCAGAAAGAGATACATTACCCAAGAAATAACAAAAATGGGTAAAGGTAATATCACTGCTAGGATTTTTAACTACAGTGAGCTATGCACCGCCACTAAAAACTTCAACCCAGATGATAAGCTTGGTGAAGGGGGTTTTGGGAGGGTCTACAAAGGGCATGTTGAAAACCCAAATCAAGTACCATTTGAAATCTTAATCATCTCTTTATTCCTTTGCATTAAAAAGAGTTTTTAACAAAAAATATATGGTTTGCATGATATTTAGTTAGTAATTTCATATTGTTGTTCCATCATACTTTCAGGTAGTTGCTGTCAAGCAACTTGACAGGAATGGATATCAAGGAAACAGAGAATTCCTGGTTGAGGTTTTGATGTTGAGTCTACTTAACCATTCTAACCTTGTAAATTTGGTTGGATATTGTGCCGACGGGGATCAAAGGATTTTGGTCTATGAATACATGGCTAATGGCTCCTTGGAGAATCACCTTCTAGGTATGTTTGACATTTGAGTTGTTATCATTTATTTTGATATAAGACTAGCAACACAACTTCAGACTCGGATGGATAATGTGATTCAGAACTTGAACTTTTAAGTGAAATTCTTACAATTTTCTTGCAGTTTTAGAACTTCCATTGTATATTGATATTTTGTTTTGGTGAACATACTCAATTGTTTGTAACTCTTGCCTTTCAGATTTACCTCCGGACAAGAAGCCATTGGATTGGAATACCAGGATGAAAATTGCTATTGGTGCTGCTAAAGGCCTTGAACACTTACATGAAACAGCCAATCCTCCAGTGATATACCGTGACTTTAAAGCATCAAACATATTACTGGATCAGGATTTCAATCCAAAGCTCTCGGATTTCGGACTTGCAAAGCTTGGTCCAACTGGAGATAAGACACATGTTTCCACCAGGGTTATGGGAACCTATGGCTACTGTGCACCTGAGTATGCACTGACCGGCCAGTTGACTACAAAATCAGATGTTTACAGCTTTGGAGTTGTGTTTTTGGAGCTAATCACAGGAAGAAGAGTAATAGACAATTCAAGACCAACAGAAGAACAGAATCTTATCACTTGGGTAAGTATCGAATGTTTTATTCTTCTAAACAATCGTGGAAACTGTATTGCTTTATACATTTCTAACTTCTAACCTTCTATAACACTGATTATATCCCCTTTTGCAGGCAACACCCCTATTCAAAGATAGAAGGAATTTCACATCAATGGCTGATCCATTGCTGGATGGGAAATTTCCCATTAAGAATCTCCACCAAACACTTGCTGTTGCAGCAATGTGTCTGCAGGAAGAAGCAACTGCCCGGCCTTTGATGAGCGACGTGGTAACAGCTCTTGAGTACTTAACTACAGGCAATGAACTAGAAGGAAGGGAAGAATAGTTGACAAACAAGAAATCAGTTTCTCCTGGTAGGCACAGTGATAGAGATATCGAAAAACCAAAGAATAAAATGAATGTACAAGAGGAGGATAAAAACAAAGGGAACAACGGCTAATGGAGCCCATCAAACTCATATCCTGTTTCAGCTAAGCTGCAATCCATGGAGTCAACTCAAGTCTCATTGCTTTAAATCCTTTCAGGGTCTGCTTTGCTAAGGGGTACAAGGGAAAGGAAAAAAAGGTGATGGAGCTCATGTGGGCCCTGGCCTCTTTCAATTTCAAGGAGCTTTGCCATGTTACTGCCATCAATGTGCAAACCAACCTCATTTCCATTAACTCAACTTTGTTTATGTTTCCTTTCTGGTTTCATTTGCAGAAAATTCGTGAAACTTGTTCCCTTCACTTTTGTATCAGGTAACTTAGAATGAAAGAAATGCTTAGAAAATTTTAGTATGATCCAAGGCTTCAAACTATAATGGCACATATGCAATTTCCCAATATTCTAATCCTCAATTCAACAACAAAAATACAAAAAGATAAATATTTGCCGAAAGGGGGTTTCTAAATATATCACCAAAATTTCTATATACACTTACAAATTTTCTTCCAAAAATACTCATATAGTAAATACTAATTTTAGTCTTTAGTAAATGACAAATATTCTCTCAATATCTTATACACTTTATACCTTCTTCTTCCTCTTGTATTCTTCTTTCTCATACATTAAACTCTAAATCTTTAAAACTAAAACCAAAGTTTTGATATTTTTGTTAAATCCTGCAAACCATGTAAGAATGGATTTAGAAATGAGAAACAACAATAGAGAAGAAGAGCTCGACGAGGTAATGGAAACTCACCCAATCAAGTCTAAATTTTTTGTATTTTCGAAAATTCGTTTTCTAAAATACAAATAATTCTTGAAAATGGATTTTCGAGAATTATATTGTATTGTCGGAAACCAATTTTAGAAAATTATAAGTTTTAGTGAATTAGTTTGCATTCTCGAAAATCTATTACCGAAAATACATTATAATTTTCAGTAATCTTTATATTTCTTATAATAAAATTTGTTTAATATATTATGATATGTAAATCAATTTGAAAACTACAATGTTAAAGTGGAATCAATCATCAGACAGTTTAGATACTAAATATGATTGCATATATACATTTACTACATAAGAGGTAAGATTGTGTTTTTGAAATTTACTGTTACTGAAAAGTATAGAAATATAGAATTTTACTTTGTATAGATGTAATAAGTTAAAAATATTGTGTATGTGCTTTGTAATAGAAAAGTTTTGATTTAATGGGTTAGAACTATTGGAAAAGATCAAGGTTTCATGATTGTAATTAAAAACTCTGCGGTGAAAGGCTTGAGGAAACCTAGAATAAAATTAACATATGAAAGAAATGAAAAATACAAACAGTTTAAGAATAAAGGCAATGTAGAAGAAATGAAACGTAAAAGAACGAGAATGAAAAAGTGTGATTGCCTATTTAAATTACATAAGATGAAATTGGTAATGGATGATGAATGGGGTGTGAAAGTAGTAAGTAGAATTCACAATCATTTACTTACACAACAATTAGAGGGACATTCATTTATGAGTCGATTAACTAAAAAAAAGTAGTTGCTAATATGTCAAACAGTATGATCAAACCCAAAAATATCCCATTGACCATAAAACAACATGATGAGAAAAATGTAAGTATTGTAAAAACAATATACAATGAACGTAAAAACACAAATATGTTGAGAAAGCTAGTAGATCACAAATATAACAATAGATGAAAAAGTTGATTGATTGTAAATACTTTAAGTGGCATAGGACTGATGAGTCAAGCGATTATGTGAAAAGCCTCTTTTAGGGTTATTCTACTGGTGTAGAGTTATTGCGAGCCTTCCCATCAGATCTAATTATGGATTGCACTTATAAAATGAACAAGTATCTTATGTCATTGCTTGAAATTGTTGGTGTGACTTCTATTTAGATGACATTTTCTATTGCATTTGTGCACATAAAAGGTTGAGTATTCTGAGAATTATGTTTGGGTGCTGAATAAGTTAAAAGATTTGATGCCTATTGGTAAATTTCCAAATGTCATTGTTATTGATAGAGAGTTGGCATTGAGCGGAATGATAAATGGGAGGCATTCATGTCCAATTACCTATAGTGAATATGAAAGACATCTAAGCTCATTAAAACTTGATTACCAAACTTATCTAGGTGCATTAAAGTATGTGAAAAATCAATAGTTGGCAAAGTATAAGGATCGATTTATTGCTACCTGGATGGATAAAGTAATACACTTTAGCAATATTACAACAAATAGGTATGATTTTATGTTGTATTGTTAATATTATATATGGTTTTTAGTATTTTATAGCAAATCATTCCTATACATTTATTATTTCGGTTAAGACCGAGAATGCATGCTCAAAATTAAAAAGACACTTTGGATCATCTCAATGGGATTTCAAATCATCATGAAAGATAGTTAATGTATTTATTAAGCTCTAACATACGGAGATAAAGGCTTCATTTGAGTGAAGTCTTACCATTGTCGAGCATAATTTCAAGCTTTTATTGTTTAAAGATTTATAAAGTTTGGTATTTAAGAGCGCACTGAATATAAATTGACAAAGGTCAAGCGAGCTAATCGTGTTGGACTTGATGCAAATGTTTGTAGTTGCATAATCAGAAGCACGCATGGATTGACTTGTGTTCATAAAGTTACAAAGCATATAATAGTGAAAAATCCAATTTCTTTATCTGAAGTGTATTAGTATTAGAAGAAGTTGGATTTAATGAAGAGCTTAGATAATGAAATATCTAAACAATTAATCTTTTCAGTTCGAGGTTGATCGAATTATCAAATATTTTAATGAATGTGATGAGTTCAATAAGTTGATAATGAAAAGAAAGCTGTAAGAACTTGGTGATCTGTCTATAACTACTTTGATGCCAACATTAGAAATGGCTAAGCGAAAAGGTCATAGAGCTATAAAAGCATATACATAACGTAACCCGTCACATTGGGATATTGTGTTATCAGTTCAAGATAGTTCATCACTACCAACCACTACAAATTCAATGAAATCGACAGAATATATCACTAAACTTCTTATTTATCGACCTCATGGTAAACAAAAAATGCGATATTTATATAGTATGCTAGTGGAGTTACATCTATATAAATAGAACATCATTGATGTTGAGACGAATGGACATTTTGGTTTTTGTTCCATTGGTTGGTTGCTTGCATTTGAATTAGATGGTTTGGTATAAGTGAGATGAGATTTAATTAAAGAGCTTAATTAATTTCAAAGCAATTATGTGACTTTATATGGATCTATAAAGCATGTTTAGGAATTGTTACAAACTTTATCGTGTTTTGATACTTTTACATTATATAATAAGTGGATGACTTTACTTGATATAAGTCTTTTGATTGCCTCTCGATATAATAGCATGTTAGTCTACATCAGTCTAAAATAGTGCCTGACATATCTACCTATTAGATTTGTACTACCTGCACCATTTAAGCAAAGATTAATCACGATTAGATTTGTTAATAACTGTCATTTTATGTAGGTACCTTTATTTAATGTTGTCATTTACTATTTATATTTATCATTCCTATTTTATGCATGTGTTAATAACATTATATAAATAACATTTCTATCTTATACAGGTGTTCATGAAACCATTCTTATCAATACTTTCTATCGCATACAACTGGCATAAAATTCGATATAGTTGTGCTTGATGGTGAAAAATTCCATATATACCTCGCTTGAAAATTTTAAGTTATTGTTTAGTTTAAATTTTAATATGGTCAATTGAGAAATAATAGGCATTATTTGATTGTTTTTTGTAATAATTGTTAACAGTTTATATTAATGTTTATGGTTTATATTAGTTTATGCTATCCAATTGACAAGCATACTTTATATATACAAAAAATCGGTGATGTTATATAGATGGATATTTTATATTGACGATTGTTATATTTGATATTTTTTGTAATGGGATGTGTCATATTGAAGAGGTAATAATCTAATGAATATTTGATAAATTTAAACTAAATATAAACAAAATGAAGTAACTATAAAATTAATAACCTAAACATAATTAACTAAATATAAAATTAGTATCAATACATGCAAATAATAAATAATCGTATCAATCCCTCTCATTTAGCCTCTTGCCTCGATGAGATACACGTGGTATAGGAAGAGGGGACTTTGCTATTTGCATAGAAGTCTCTAGCTGGGTCGATACTGCTGTCTTCGTAAAAGGGAGAATCGAGTAAGAATGATGATGTTGCCAATGCTGGTGGTAATGAGGATGGTGGGGCCGTGAGCAAGCTAGGAGGTGTTGATGGGCATGCACTAGCAAGGTCGGAGGTGCAGGTGTCAATAAGACTAGATATGGAAGAGGCATGGTGGCCTAGATAGTCTAAATGTATGAATTGATGGTGCAAGAGTCAATGCCAATTTAAACTAATTGTTGTTGCTTGCATTAGTGAACTCGGAGGTGTAGGTGTCAATGGGACTAGAAATGGAGCAGGCATGGTGGCCTAGATAGTCTAGATAGTCTAAATGTATGAATTAATGGTGCAACAGTCGATGCCGATCTAGATTGACTGTTGCTGCTTGCAACAGTATGGTCAAACTCACCTAATATGGCTAGTACTCGAATAATGTTGTCTCTTTAATAGTCAATGCCTTGATCAAATCTACCAGCCACGATATGATCAAGAAAAGATTAAGTAGCGAGCTTCACTACAAAAATATTACTAAGGTTATTAGTATTGATATCATATAATTAAAATTAATCAATTAATAAAAAAACCTTAAAATTATAAAATTTATGACTTATTGAATCACTAATATGCGTAGAATCAATCGGCTAAGGCTTGAATCTGGATCAATACTTTAGATTTTGAATAAGGGAGTGAAATTGTTGTAAATCAAGCATTGTAGTCAAACGAACACTTTCCCGATCTTTAACATGCCCGGCTTCGACGCTCAACCAACACAATGTGTATTTCTCATAGTTCACAGTGCTGGTGCAAAAAGCTATATGCAACATTGTACTGGTACTGCGATAGTTCTCGATCAACATGGGACGGGGTTAATGGTTGTGGTGAAATAGTCTATACAAAATTAAACTATCGTAGAACTCTTTTCAGGCGGTATGACTGTATGATTGCCCCACACTTGATACATCTAGTGAAAAAGGTAATCTCATGTAGTAAATGTGCCTTTTCATCTATTGATGTATGATTGTCAACACATGTTCGATACTGTTAAGCCACCTAAAGCATTCACATAAAGCTCACAATATATCAGCATAAGTATAAATCTTCCATTATCGCGACAGTATGTCAATATAGCAATGGGGCCAAGATTAAAACTCGTAAATCACGCCTACATAAAATACATAAGTAATATTTAATTAGATAATCTCATATATGCTAATAAAAAATAAATCAAATAATTATAATATGTTTTTAACTAATTATAAATACATATTTGGATAAGTGTCAGATATCTGACGATTCGATGCACGTCTACTCTGATCGCAATCTCAAGCTGCCTATATAAGTATGTGAGTTCATCATCCCCTAAGCATAACGTCCCGTGGCAGTGAGGTCCTCTAATAGGGGTAAGTACGTTATGAGACTCTCATCCCTATCTTGTCACAAAATATTGTACACCCTAGCAAATATAGTAGAAAAGCTAGGAATGCACTAGTAATCGCCTTATCAAATGATGCATTAGTGATAGTCAGATAGTGAATCCTTTACCCAGTGTGGTTTTTTGTCTAGTCACCTCATCAATAACTCCAAGCAACATTGATAATACTGTGTTTGCCTTGTGTATCGTCAAATAAGGTAATGAAACTATGGCCCTAGTGATCAATATGTGTAAAAGGGTAAACACATTGTCTAGTGTGATAGCATCTCATCAAACGACATATGAAATATGTTCATTTTAGGCTGTCACTTATTGACAAAAACGGACATTATGGTGTTGTTGATGATAGGATAGGTGTTGTCGATGAGTGAGAACAACCTTGGCTGGACAACTTGGGCTCAAATCCTACTATGTGCATTGTCTAAATACCATTATTGTAACTTTGGCCTATGGTTAATCGATTTCAATGTATCTCACTCCTATAAGAATAATAATAACAACAACAACAACAAAAATAAGATCAACATCACTAATATCAACAATATACATAATAACATCAATAATAACAGTCAACCAAGTCATTATAAAGACATAAGCTAATATGATTTGTATTATATGATTCAAGTGATTATTTGACTATTCCAAATTTGGATGCAATATGAGAAGCAAAACTCAAAAGAATGAAAGTATCAATAGGACCTCTTAAAAAAGACTTTACATGATGCTCATCTATGGTGGAAGTCAAAGGCTTAACTTGAGGAATGTCATCGGTCGTATAATCCTTTGGCTCATCGCCCCCTATTTGTTGTCTCTTATTGGAGACAGTTGGATACCTTCGACTCGGATTAGCATTAGCTCTGGTATTTCTACCTCAAGTAGGAATACCTTTTCCTCATGCACGAGCCATATCTGTAACAAAAAACAACTTACTAAGCTTATAGAATATATTTACAAACTTTTGTAAATAAAAAATAACATTACACTAAAAGTCCAATTTCTTTCTCATTAAAAACATGTAAACTATTGGGTTTGGACATAACAGATCATTTTTAAACAAGGAATTGATCATGTTTATATAGAAAACAAGAAAATAGATATTTAAATTTTTAAAAAATTCTTCAAGCTTCTAAAAAATTTATTTTAAAAAAGCTCAAATTTATCTTAAATCTTATGTTAAACCTTAATCTATATTCACATATATTTCAAACAAATTTCAACTAAATTAATAAAAAAAACTAAAAATCTTACATTTAATAAGTGAAAAATTGAAAATATAAATGATTTAGGTTTAGTGTGATTTGAAGGTTTTTTTTTAATCAAAAACAAAGAGAGAAGAAGGGAGAATGCAAGAGTAGAAAGGAAAAATAAAAAAATAGATTGTGGGTGTATTCAATAAAAATAAAAAATTTAAAATTAAATTTAAGATATATTTAATAATCGGATATATAAAATAAAAAAATGATATAAATAGAAATGCCCTTGCTAAAATACCAGCCATAAATAAAAAAAAATTAAAACAATGGTCCAATTGTCCGTTAGGGTTTGGAAAATGACTTAAAAGTCAAAAGAAAAGAAGCGTTTTAGGCATTTTCATCTCTTTCCGTCTTCTTATTCTCTCACCTTTGCTCTGCTACTTTCATAGACAATCACAGTTCCACTTGTGAAAAAAACCCGCCAAAACCCCCCCCCATAGTCTTGCCCCTCCAAGACAAAAAATTTACCATCTTTGCCAATTCAAGACACCAACAAAAATAAACAAAACGGCTCCTTGTACAGTAAACAGCACTAGCAGCAAGCTAGCAAGACTTGCAGACATAATGGCTGTTATAGGGGTTGTTTCTACTTCCCAAACTGCTGCTACCCTTTTGGTAGACTATTTTGTCCTTCTTCTTCTTGGTTTTCCCGGTCTTGTTCTAGGTACTTCTTTTTGGCTTCTTCTAAAGCCTTGCACAGGTTTCACTCTTTTACTTCTTTTCTTTTTTTTTTTTTTGGGTTTTTTTTTCCTGGTTTCTTAGACCATTTGATACCCATTTGTCCTTTTAAAGAATATATCTTTCTTTTTTTTTTGTTTTTGTCATTAGCTTCCGTTGCCTGTTTTAGAGGGCTTTGGGGTTTATATGCTGGAGAAGATGCCATTTTTATTGCTTTTCTTCCTTTTTTTTAGTGTGTGTTTTCGTGCCATCGTTTTCTGTTGTTTTTGGCTTTTTTAATCTGGGTTGTTTTAGATCAGGTGATTGACTTTTGTCTTTTTCTTTGGGAGGGGGGGAGGGAGTGGGGCGGTGTCTTTCTGTCATTAGCTGCTGTTGTCTGTTTTAGAGAGTTTGGGATTAATGGTGGAATGTGGTTGTAAAATGTGACATAAGATATGCATAAGAAAATGGAATGGAAATGTGATAGTGCTTGAGTCTCTTGAATCTGAAGTCTTTTTCTGTTGTTGTTTACCTTTAAATAGCTGATATACTAGAAGAAATGCTTCAGTCAAATTAATTGATCTTTCTGATTTTTTTTCTTATTTACATTGTAGGCGAGAAATGTGCACAATGCAGAATGTTCGGTGTGCTTTTCTTAATGATACCGTGTCAAGTAGTTCCCGTCATTGCTATCATCCCAAAGATATGAGACTTAAGGTAGCTGCTTCTGAATATGCTAGGATGGTCCACCCTGACCGAGATAACTTTCTTTCTGTTAACAAGTCTAAAGGAGTGAGTGTAGACGACCAGAGAAACAATGAGAGCCAAGCAAATTATGGAAAGTCTAGGGTGACATCATTTCGAGCAAATGTTTTTATGTTTGCTCCTAAAAGTACCACTGTACCCGGACTGGGCGTTCATTGAGAAAAGAAGCTGGCAGGATGAAGGAAGATAAGGAGATGGTGAAGGAGGGCTTTAAAGGTAGTAGTTCTTCTTCCACTGACCAACACTACTTGAATCTGAAGCTTATTGGCTCAATATTTAGAACAACTTATAAAGAAGAATCAGTTCCCAGAAATAGTGGAAAAAGAATTTCTATTTTTGATAGTCATTTTCTACCCCAACCAACTAGTAATAAACAAATGTCCAGAGACAACAATACAGCTACTGACCAAATAAATGGTTCCAAGCAGCTGAAAGGTTCAACTAACACGAATTTTCAAGTAATGGATGATTGCCAAGGCTGGTCTTAGATGACCACCAAGACATTGGAACCATTGGAGATGGTAATTTTCTTTCTGAGGATGATTTTCCACACCATCCAACTAGCAGTAAACAAACTTCTAGAGTTGACAATGTATCTTCCAATAGGATAAATGGTTCCAAGCAGTTAAAAGGTTCAACCAAAACAGAAGTTTCAAGTAATGGCTTGTCACAAGGGGCAGTTTCAGATGACTAACAAGACACAAGACATATGGATCCTAATGTAACCAGAAGGGACCAAGCCAACGAAAATAGGGTTGCTAGCTGTGAAGAAACTCATAGTTTCTTGAGAAGATATTCACAAGCAGCTTGCTAGGATTTACGACCAGGTTCTTGTTGTAGATATATCTCTGTTGCAAAGGAAGTTGTTCTGATGCTTACAACTCAAAACAGGCATCTTGTTCATGCATGTGATACAGAGGTATAAGCTCTGCATAGTATACATCCCTTTTACCATTTTCTTATATATGTGCTGTGTGCATGCTGTAGGGAGCATACATTTGCTCCAAGCACTATCCAGTTTGGATGTAAATGAGCTACTGTCTATTTGCTGATGTAGATTCTTTGCAGGTATCTAATATTGATGTGAACCAAGAGACTCCTGTTGATCATGGTGAGATTACATGTTTCAGTATTTATTCTGGAGAAGATGCCAATTTTGGAAATGGGAAGTCCTGTATCTGGGTAGATGTTCTGGATGCTGGTGGTGGGAATCTTCTGAAGGAATTTGCTCCGTTTTTTGAAGATCAATCTATCAAAAAGGTAGTACGCCTTGCACTCACTCATTTCTTTTTGTTTTTTTTTCCTTTTGTTTCTCCTGATCTGCTGCACTGTTTTTATTTACTAGTTATTGCATGGTCCATTGGAGCACTAGATCATCCTTAGTCCTGAAACAAACTTGATATTGATATATTCATTTGGGCTTTCAATAGGTGTGGCACAATTATAGCTTTGATAATCATGTTATTAAGAACTATGGACTTGAGGTTTCTGGATTTCATGCTGACACAATGCATATGGCACGGTTGTGGGACTCATCAAGACGAACAATGGGTGGTTATTCTCTTGAAGCACTTACGGGTGATAGAAACATTATGCAAAGGACTAAATGGCGCAAAGAAGAAAAGGAATTGATTGGTAAAACATCAATGAAAACTATTTTTGGCAAGAAAAAAGTGAAAAAAGATGGATCTGAGGGCAAAATGATCACCATTGCCCCTGTTGAAGAGCTACAGCGGGACGAACGCAAATTATGGATTTTTTATTCTGCCTTAGATGCAATAAGCACACTGAGACTTTACAAGAGCTTGAAAAGCAAACTATCAAGCATGTCTTGGGTATTTGATGGTAAATAGTTTCTGGAAAGTCCATGTATCACTTCTACAAAGAGTACTGGCAACCATTCAGTGAACTTCTTGTTAAAATGGAACGTGAGGGTATGTAGGTTGATTGGACGTATCTTGCTCAACTAGAAAAGGTGGCTAAAGCAGAGAAAGATTGCTGCTAATAGGTTTCGCACCTGGGCATCTTGATATTGTGATGATGGCAAGTATATGAATGTGGGAAGCGATACTCAGATCCGCCAACTTCTTTATGGTGGCATTCTTAACAGGTACGAATTGCATATTTTGTGTACAACAACATTTGTTCCCTATCAATATTGATAAGAGCATAGCATTGAAATTTAGGCATTATATTGAATTTAAGTGGGTGAGATACATTTTATCATTTCCTTTACCAGAAATACAGTGAATATCCTACTTACATTTCTGGTTTCAAATTTCTTGCTGTTAAGTACTTAAAAACTGTTATTGCTGATTGCATGGGGGAAGTGCAAGAAATGCAAAACTTGGTGTTTCCTATGAATTTCCTGTAATTTATGGACGTATTCATATCATCAACAAATCAACCATCACTCTTCATTATCCAAAAGATGTGTGTGGTATGTGGTGGGGTGGGGGCAGATAGACAGACAGAGAGAGAGTGTTGAAAAGTTTGGAAGTAAAGTTCCCGACAATTAACTTGATTATTTCTTGTTACAGTAAGGACCCAAATGTGAGTCTTCCTGATGAGAAAACTTTCAAAGTTCCCAATGTCAATAAAGTGATTGAAGAAGGCAAAAAGGCTTCCACTAAGTTTTGCAGTATTAAGCTGTGTAGCCTTGGTGTTAAGCTCCCTGCTGAGATTTACACTGCCACTGGTTGGCCCTTAGTTAATGGTAATGCTTTGAAAACCTTAGCTGGGAAGGTTTCTGCAGAATATGATTTCACAGATGATACCAATGATGGTGATATCGACAATTCTCCTGAAAAAATGATTGATGTTGATACATCTGCATATGGATCCGCTTTTGCAGCATTTGAGGATGAGGAAAAGGGGAGGGAGGCATGCCATGCCATTGCTTCATTATGTAAAGTTTGTTCCATTGACACTCTAATAACCAATTTCATTCTCCCTTTGCAGGTAATTTTGATGCCTCGTTTAATCGGTCATACAAGTTGATCAGCTTTTACAGTCTACTACTCAGCCTGCTTTACTTTTCCTCTCTAGTATCATTTTATTTTCTTTGAGGACTTATGCTAGGGCTTTATTCATCCAACTTTCTATTGAATGATGAGAGCTGTGCATATGTCCAAAATGTGCTGCATTACATCTAGCAATATTACTGTAAAGGTGTCAACATCATTGCACCATGTCTTTTCTATTTAATTATAATTTGTCATTAACAGAGGAAGCTATCAAAATGCTGGTTTGATATTTGATCATCCAAACTGGTTGATGCTGCTAGGTGTTAATGAATTGGTAAAATTATGTATATTGCGAAGGAAAGGGCTAAAACCAAAAATGTAGGTAACATAATGGCAGTTACAAAACTCAAAATATGTGCTAAGTGGTCTATACCTGCAGTACATTATTGTTAATTCTTGATTGCCTAAGAAAAAAAGCAGAAGTTTGTTTAAAAGCTTTTGTCTTTGTAGAGCAACTCCTCTCTTTGTGTGAATAAAGTGATGATGATCAACAAGGCATTTTTATGATTTCTTCCTTAACTGCAGCTATTATTTCCTTGCTCATGATTAATTTTCTACCTTAAAATTCTTATAATGGTTTATAATGAGAATGATATCTTTACTGCAGGGGAGTAATATATCAGGTAAGAGTGGAAGTGTTCATTGTTCATTGAATATCAATACAGAAACTGGGCGTTTATCTGCCAGGAGACAAAATTTGCAGGTTCATTTTTCTTTTGTTTTGTTCTCTTCTGTTGTTTTAGCAAGTTATTAAATACTTAGAACCTCAAGGTTCTATGCATGCCTATAACTTCTATGTCACTCAGATAGCAAAGACAAAATTTTCTTAGATGAAATACAATGGACCAAGTTTTTCTTGAGATGGAATATGTCATTAAAGCCCTCTTGTTAAGAATGCTTCTAATATCTATATCCAGATTCTAAATACTCGTATCACAGGATCGTTAGTTCTAGTCTGCTACCATCTAAGTGTGGTCATTTCTTTCAGAAACTTGTCATAATAAGGCATGAAGAAAATAAAAAAGAAAAATTTGTTATTCCTCTGCATACCTTTCTCTTTCCTTTTGGATTGGGGTGGGAACTTTATGATATTAACATTTTTTTGGTAGTTTTAAATCAGAATCAACCTGCACTAGAGAAGGACCGGTATAAGATATGTCAGGCCTTTGTAGCTGCCCCCAGAAATTCCCTTGTTGTTGCAGATTATGCGCAGGTAAGTTAATTGAACTGTCTTCCTTTTTCATGTTATTTCATGTATTGATTAGAATATAAATTCACATTACAGCTGGAACTCAGGATTCTTGCACATCTGACTGACTGTAAAAGCATGTTGGATGCCTTCAAAGCTGGTGGAGATTTCCATTCAAGGACTGCAATGAACATGTACTCTCATATCCGTGAAACTGTTGAAAAGAGGCAAGTTCTTCTTGAGTGGCATCCTCGACCCGGTGAAGAGAAACCACCAGTTCCACTTTTAAAGGTAAAGTAAAAATCTGTAATCAAACTTGGTCATGGGTATTCACTGAATGGTAGAGAGAGAAATCTGTTTCAAGGTTTTCACTTGTCATCAGCAATTTCTTTTGTCCCCCAAGCTAGGTTGTAAGAATCTTCTGGATCTGTTAATAGTACATAGATAACAGACAGAGATATCCTAGAGAACTAGAAATTACTTGACGTGTTGTCTCAAGGAGGTGAAAGGCAGCAATTCTTTTGCCCTATCCTGGCTAAGAATCTGAGATTTTTTTCAACAAGCCTTTGGCAGAACTAAAACACCTGCTGTTATTGCTTAAAGAACAGAGGGATCAAACTTCTCACTTTGCCTAAGTATGATGTATAGAAAGATGGTGAAGATCTCATGAAAAGGATTGGGCTAGAAATTGTTTAAAAGATTATACAAACATATTGAACTTGTAACCTTTGTCCTGTATACTTTTATTAGATATCTTGTCCTATCCATGACTGTGATTCAATTAGGACCTAAATTGCTTTAGCCATTTAAAAGTTACAAGCATTTGATGTTTTGATTTGAAATTATTTTTTCATTTACATTAGTTTGCTCAGCATGGTTCATATATAAATGTAAGCATGAAATTGATTTTGAGTGGCTCCTAAAAAATGTGCAGATCTTAGGAAATTATTACCAATTCTTATTGTAATTAAAATTGATTTCAATTGCTGAATCCAACTGGGTAGAAAATTGTTCCCCTTTTTTTTTTTTCGGGATGCCTTTGCTTCTGAAAGAAGAAAAGCTAAAATGCTCAACTTTTCCATTGCATACGGAAAAACTCTCATGGGACTTGCTAAGGATTGGAAGGTATTCTTGGAACCTAAAAGAACAATTAAAACTTAAAATCCATTAAGCCACAAAAGGTAATGATGATTGCACCTCTCTCAGGTTTCTGTAGAAGAAGCAAAGAACACAGTTGATCTATGGTATAAAGAAAGGCAAGAAGTGCTCGAATGGCAGAAACAGCTTAAGTATGAAGTTGTGAAACACGGGCATGTTCAAACATTGCTTGGAAGGGCTCGTCGCTTCCCATTATTTGCTCATTGTACACAAGCTCAAGAAGGCCATATTGAAAGGGCTGCTATCAATACTCCAGTGCAGGTTTTGCTCTTCTTTCTCATGCACTCATCTCTCTCTCATCTAGATGAGTTTTGCAGGGAAGTGCTGCTGATGTTGCAATGTGTGCCATGTTACAGATATCTAAGAATGAATAGGGGTGAGCAGAAATCGGTTCAAACCGATTTAACCGACTGAAATTAGTGAAATGTGGTTATTTCGGTTCGGTTTAGTCGGTTTTCAGTTATAGTTGGTTTTGGGATCGGTTAAATTGGTTAAATCGATCGGTTATTGGTTTTTAAAATTGATAACCGAATTAACCGATCTTATAATAACTAAGGGAAAATATGTAAATTCTATTAAAAAACCCTAAATTTAATTTAATTTTTCTAACTCACCGTCTCACCCCACCCACGCCGTGCCCCATTTCTGCTCTTTGCTCCCCCTCAATCTGTTGCATCTTACCGTGCCCCTTTTCTGCTTTTTGTAATTTGTTCCCACTCAGTCTCTTGCATCTTTGACTCCCTCTTACTCTTTTGCTCGACTGCTTCCCTTTAATCTCTTGCTACCTCTAATTTGCTGCACTGTATAAGATCAGACAGTTGTAGAGATTGATATTTCTTTGCTGCCCAAGACGCCATTGTAAGTTCCTAAATCCTGCTTCCCTCTTAATCTCTTGCTCCCTCTAATTTGCTGCACTGCATAAGATCAGACAGTTGTAGAGATTGATCTTTCTTTGCTGTCCAAGACGCCATCGTAAGTTCCTAAATCCTGATAACTTTTATTTTTTCTTTTACCATGATACTATGTCTTTGTTTAAAGTTGTATTCTTCATGTCTGCTTTATCAGAGATGCTTTAGGGAAATGGTTTGTGGTTTTGTCTTTCAGGACTACAAGCTGTAGTTTTCTTTGTTGACCACTAGAAAGTTCTATCCTCATCCTGTTTTATGGATATGAAAGCACATGACTTGTGGGGGAGAATCCATCCACTAAGCCAACCCCTGTTACTATCTTGAAAGGGAATAGATGGTTTGTCCTGTTCATTCCTGCACTTTTTAAACTATCTCTTCTTTTTCTTTTTCTGTTTAGTAATAAGCTAGAAAAACCAGTCAATTAAGTGGGGACTGTGTGATGAGAGCTTTCCAGAAAGCCAGTCGTGGTAGGTAGGTAGGATTTAACCCTTTTCGTTGGCGAATTTCAATTGACTTGGTTGATCCTCTCTAATCTTTCATCCTCAGCTTCATTCAGGAATTTACTTATAACTTGGTTCTCTGTCATTGAAAAACGATTTTCCCTCGGATCCAAATCGGAAACTTGAATAAACTTTTGAATAACTAGCATTATTTCAGTCCCACCCAAGTTCTCAATGCAATTCTTGAATGCTTCTGGCATATCAGAGGGCGGTTCCAAACCCAAAGCAGTAAGCTCTACAATAATGGGATAGAGTCTCTTCTTCTGATTCTGCTTCTTCTCATTGTTTTTGTTTGTCTTCTGCTTCTCCTTCTTGTCATTGTTGCCTGTCTTCTGTTTCTTTTGTGTCTTGATCTTGTACTCTTCGTTTTCTTCTTGAAAAGAACAACAACTTCCACTTTCAGGACAACATTGGATACCTTTTGTCTCAATGATCATCTTCTTCTTATTCCTTGTGGCATGTTCCTTGGCTAAGCATTTTATAAACCCTTCCAATACAGTCTCAGTTAGTGTGCTTAGTCGATGGCTTTCATCATCATCTGTCATTGCTTCAACCTCCTTCTTCAGTTTCTTCCATGAATCATCGTCATCAACATTCTCCAAACCTTTAACGTCAACATCTTCAATCGAATTTTCTCAACTTTTTCAAGAACTCAGTAATGGTAGATTTTGTTAAGAAAAACATTAGAAATAATATGGGTGTGAGTAATTTCTCTAAGACCGCCTGTTAATATATATATATATATATATATATATATATATAAAGAGAGAGAGAAAGATAGAGAGGTTTCGATTCCTAATCCTTGGTGGAATAAACTTACTTCAAAGAAGTAACATTTCAGTAGTGGAAGATACTTTTCAAGAAGTAGTGGTAGGTAGGTAGAATTTAACCCTTTTGTTAGCGAATTTCCTTCTTTGCTTTGTTCTTGCCATCGAGTATAAAACAAGTCTTTTAAACCAAAAAGTTAGAGTACTTCACACTTTTCTTCTAGCTTTAGTCCTCTTTTCCTGTTAACGTTTCCAGTAGCTCGGTTCAAGAAGTATGGAAAGATTTCTTTGAGGTCTTATCATATATGAATTGGAATAAGAAGAAAGCAGAAAAGCACCTTACTAGATCTAGCACTTTTAACTTCCTTACTAGATCTAGCAACTAATTAATCTAAATTGTGCTAGATACTTAAATTAAAAGCTAAAATAAATTAGCTTAAACTATTCTAGATACATAAATTGTTTGTTGATAAAACAAGCAACTAATATATAGTTTGATCAACAGACTATTTCATTATTTGAATATCTAATGTGTTCAATAATTATGTGACCACTACTTTATTATTGTTTCATTATTTGAATATAATTTTATTTTTATTTATTATTTTAATATAATATAATTATTTATTTTTTATTGTTTGGATATAATTTGATCGCGTGTTTTTTTTTTTTTTTTGAAGATGTCAAATGAAGTGAATGATATGATTTTGGATTCTACATCTAATCAAACACAATTGGCCTTTCAACTTCCTGCACATGATGAGGTAACAAAAAGTGAAACTGTAAATTTCAAAGTGATGAGACGAGCATCTAAACCATGGTCAGAGGCAGGAGACCATTTTACTAAATTTGTTAACGAAGAAAGTAATCGTAAAGCTAGGTGTAATTATTGTGATAGATAATTTTTTGCTGATCCTAAAAAGAATGGAACCACTGTTTTAAAGAATCACATGAATTCTTGTAAAAAACTTCCTTGTGTTGGTGGGGATGATGGTACTCAAACAGAATTGGTGTTGTCGTCAGGAGGAGCAGAATTTTAGGCACTTGAAAATTTAATCAAAATGCTATTAGAAAAGCTGTAGTTAAAATGATATTTTAAATGAGTTGCCATTTAGATTTGTGGAGTCGGAAGAATTTAAGTATTGCATGTTAGTTGCATACGATGGACAGTTGCTAGGGATTGCTATCAATTTTATATTGATGAAAAGACTTATTTGAAGCAATTCATGAAATCGTTTTCCACAAGAGTATCCCTTACCACTAACACATGACCCTTATTACAAAGGGTCAATTATATGTGTCTTACGTCTCACTTCATAGACAAAGATTGGAAACTAAACAAAAAGATATTAAATTTTTGTCCTATTTCTAGTCATAAATGTGAAGCTATTGGTAAGGCGGTTGAATGTTTGCGTGATTGGGGGATTGATAAGATTTTTACTATTACAGTTGATAATGTTAGTTTTAATGATGTTGCAATTACATATTTGAGGAAAAAATTTAACAATGTTGGAACTAGTATTTTGGGAGGCCAATATCTTCATTTGATAGGCATTGCACATATTGTTAATCTTATTGTTTGTGATGGATTGAAGGAAATGAATGAAACAATTGCTCATGTTAGAGGGGTAATAAGATATTTGAGACAATTACCTTCCAGGTTAGCTAAGTTTAAAGAGTTATTGTGAATGAACATATTTAGAGTAAAAGTTTACTGTGTTTAGATGTTAGCACTAGATGGAATTTTATTTATTTGATGTTGGATGTAGCTCAAAAGTTTGAAAGGGCATTTGATGCATTTGATGATATTGATCCTTATTATAGATGTGAGCTTTTGATGGGAGATGGGGTGCCCAATCAAAATGATTGGGCAATTGTTATGAAGTTTTGCCTTTTCTTGCAACAATTTTATGATTTCATCGTGAAAGTTTCAGATACTTCTTACGTCACATTTAATACTTTTCTTGATGATATATGTGATGTTTATTCTACTTTGCGAGAATGGGAATTAAATCCTTGATATTGAGTTGAATGCAATGGCAAGGAGAATGAAGGATAAATATGATAAGTATTGGGGAAATATAGAGAAAATGAATATGTTAGTTTATATTACTTCTCTTGATCCTTCAAAAAAGTTTCCTTTTGTTGAATATTGCTTCATGAAAATGTATTTTTCTGATGAAGCTTTATTGATGATTAAAAAAGTACAAAAAGCAATAAAAGACTTGTTTAATGAGTACAAAAGAATGTTAGAACCTCAGTCTGAGCAAGTTGGTGAAAAGTAGTCAAGTGAGCCAAATATCACAGCCCACCGATGATGAAAGTGAAAATGGAATGACAAAAAAGAATGAAAGCTTTAAGTGCAAATACAAGAGGTATAAGATTGAACATGGTAAAGATGAACATAAATCAGAATTGGCTAAAGATTTGAGTGAGGGCCTGATGATGATGATAGTGATGACTTTGATGTTTTAACTTGGTGGAAACTCAATAGCCATAGGTTTTCTATCCTTTCCCATCTAGCTTGTGATGTATTGGCAATTCTTATATCCACAGTTGCTTTGAATCTGCTTTTAGCATTGGTGGTTGTGTGCTTGATGCATATAGGAGCTTTTTAACTCTTAAAATTGTGCAAGCGCTTATTTGTGCTCAAGATTGATTACGTAGATCTTCTAATCTTGATTCGTTTCAACTTGAAGATGATTTGACACAGCTTGACAAAATGGATTTAGATAATATTTTATTTATACCATCATTTATTTTTTAAGGATTATTATTTTTTATTTTTTTATTTGTTTAAAGCTTTTGTTATTTTTTGTTTATATTTTTAGATTTGTCAAAAATTACCTTAGATCCAGTAATTGATTAAGAAAAAGGTGCATGAACCTTTTGAGGTAATTTCATTATTAATTTTTATGAATATTTGCATTTAGAAAATATTTATTGTATTCTTTGACAATTAATTAAGGTTTTAATCTCTTTAACATCTTAGGAAACAATGAAGGATGTGCACCGAAGTTATGGGAATGCTGTTAGAACTTGGAATGTCTTTTAATTAGCTTGTTTTATGTTTTTTATGAACTTTTATATCCATTTGCCAACTTGGAGTGTCTTAGCTTGTTTTATGTTTTGTATGAGCTGTTAGTTTAATTTGTCAACTTAAAATGTCTTTTATGTTTTGCACCAAAGTTATGAGAAGCATATTTGCTTGATTTGCTTTTTTAAGTTGCTTGTTGAACCTTGAAAACTTTTATGTGTTGAAATGATAATTATTATGTATTGATGGCTTTGTTTGTTATTTGATATATGTTAGAGTAATACTTTTTAAAGCTTATTTTTTAATTTATTTTGATTAAATAAGTTTATACGAGTATTTATTTATCTTTTTTCTTGTAAAATATTGTAGAAATTATTAAATTTTTTAGTGATTTAGTTTGAACAGTATGTGAATTTGAGTTTTATTGGATTGAATTTATATCTAAATAATTATTCAAAATAAAGAAAAAATGATGAAAAAATGACGAAAAATTCGGTTATTTAATTGAAATAACCAAATCGAATTGATTTTTGATTGGTTCTGTTAAATCGGTTAGTTAAAATTTTGTTGGTCGATTCAGTTATTAATAGAATAAAAATTGGTTAATTTGGTTATTAATTTTTTTAGATCGAATTAATCGAACTGATCGATTGCTTACCTTTAAGAATGAATGTGTGAAATAACTAAGAAATAAAATTGTGTGAACAACTAAGAGTAAAATTAAATATATATTGAAAAATTGCTCATTAAGAATTATATAAAAATCTTAGGTTTATATACAACTAATTAGGGGTTAAACTAGGAAATTAAATTTTTTAAAAGTTGATCCCATAATTGAGAGATTGTTTATCTTAATTTTTTGTCTTTAATTTTAGGGATACAAATACTTAATTTTAGAGAAACAAATATAAATATACAGATTACAAGATTACAATCAGCTATAAATAGGTGTTTTTTCACTCTTTCTCAAGTAGTGAATAGGCGTTTTTCACTCTCAGCTAGAAATTAATTTCTTGAAATGTTGTAATGTTGAGACTTTTAGTCAAAACATTTGCAAGTTGACCATTGATACATAAAGTGTACAAATCAACCCACTGTCTAGTTTCTCTTTTATGAAATATAAGTCTACTTCAATGTATTTTGTTCTATCATGTTGCATAAGATTGTGTGTAATGGTTATCATAGACTTGTTGTCATGGTAGAGTCTCATTGGTGTATCCCACTTGATCTTCAAGTCTTCTAGGATAATCTTTACCCATACTAGTTCACAAATTCTTTAAGTCATTACGTTTAACTCTACTTCAGCACTTGATCTTGCCATCATATTTTGTTTTTTACTCTTATAAGTCATAAGATTACCACCTAAAAAAGTGCAGTAGCCTAAGGTGGATCTTTTATCAGTTACTGAACTTGCATAATCAGCCTTTATATATGCTTCTAGAATTTACCTTGAATTTCTTTTGAATAAGATACCTCTCATAGGATTGGCTTTCAAATAGTGCAATACACGATAGAGAGCCTGTAGGTGCACTTCTTTAGGATTATGCATAAATTGACTTACCACACTCACAGCATATGCTATATCAGGTCTAGTATGTGAGAGATAAATAAGTTTTCCAATTAATCTTTGGTGCATCTCTCTTTTATAGTAGCATCTTCATTAGTTTCTCCAATTTTATGATTAGGATCTATAGAGGTACTTGCAGGTTTACATGCGAGCTTTTCAATTTGTTTCAGAAGATCCATCACATATTTCTGTTGTGAGATGAAAATACCATGCCGTGAGTGAGCTCCTTTAATTCCTAGGAAGTACTTTAATCTTCCTAGCTCTTTTATCTCAAATTCTCTAGTCAAACATTGTTTTAAAGATTTTCTCTCTTTTTCATCATCTTTAGTTACAATTATATCATCAATATACACTAATAAAAATGTGACTCTCCTTAAATCAGAGTGCTTGATAAACAATGTGTGATCTTTTTGACTCTGTTTATATCCTATTGCTAGCATCACTTTGGCAAATCTCCCAAACCAAACCCTAGGAGACTGTTTAAGGCCATATAAAGCCTTTTTCAACTAGCATACTTTGTTTGTTTCTAGATGACTTTGAAATCCTGGTGTAATCTTCATATATATTTCTTCTTTCAAATCACTATGTAGAAAAGCATTCTTTACATCAAATTATTGAAGTTGCCAATTGTAATTTATAGCCAATGATAACAAAATCCTAACTATATTTATCTTGGCAATTTGAGCAAAGGTTTCCTGATAATCCACTCTATAGGTTTGAGTGTAGCCCTTAGCCATTAACTTGGCTTTATACTTTTCAACAGTACCATCTGCTTTGTATTTTACAGTGAAAATTCATTTACACTTCACTAGATTTTTTTCTTTAGACAACTCTACTAGTTCCCATGTCTTATTTTGCTCTAGGGCCTCAATTTCTATTTTCATGACTTGCCTCCATTTCTCACTGGATAATAGCTCGGATAACATAGTTGGAACAGAAATAATGTTTAAGCTCACAAGAAAATTTTTGTGGGATGGTGAAAATTTTTCAAATGATACAAAATTAGAGATTGGGTATAGTGGATGCTTAGTACATTTTTTGATTCCTTTTCTAATGGCAATAGGCAAATCATAATAACTAGTTATAGTTTTAGGAGATTTATGCTCATTTTGAAAAAAAGAGTTAAAAACTGTAGTTACCTTATTTTCAAAGTTAGGATTAGGTTCTTGGATTGGCACTGGTTCAGGATTTGAAACTTTTTTTCTTGAGTACACCTGTAATTCCTTTATAGAATCAAGAACAATATTATACTTTGTCACATCTTTTGTGTTTGGAATGGGTTCAGACTCAAATTCAGTATTTGACTTGGGCTCAACAGAAACAAGTTTCAACTAAGAAGAATTAATAGGTGAAAATGTTGAAGAAAAGGACAAATCAAGCAAAAAGAAGTCTTTATCCTTATCTTCCATGAATGAAGTCTCTTTTTGAAGATAAGGTTGAGTAAAAAATAGTTTACTTTTTTCAAAAGTGACATCTGTAGACACAGAATTTTTTGCAATGAGGATGATAGCACTTTTGCCCTTTCTGAGTTGATGAATACCCCATAAAGATACACTTAATTGCTTTTGGATCCAACTTTTCCCTATTATGACTGTGAACATGAATAAATGATCTACAACCAAATATCTTAGGTGTGAGGTTGTTTGTAGTATTAAGGTTAGGATAGAATTGTGAGAGTAGTTTCATAAGAGTTTTAAATCCTAAAACCCTTGAATGTAACCTATTATAATGTGTGTGGTAATGAGAACAACTTTCTCGTATTAAGATTTGGGTACATTTGCTTGAAAAAGAAAGACTCAGGTTGTAGTTAGTAAATAGTTGTTTTTCTCCTCTGCCATTCCATTATGCTGTGGAGTATTAACACAAGATAACTTATGGATAATCTCTTTTTTTTTAAATAGGTGGATAGATTCTGGTTGAAATAGTCTCTTGCATTATCAAACCTAAATCTCTTGATTTTTACTCTAAATTGATTTTGGATCATGTTTTGGAAGCTTAAAAACATACTATTCACATCTGATTTGGATTTAAGTAAAAAAATCCAAGAAACCCTAGTATAATCATCTATAAATGAAACAGACCATCTTGCACTAAAAATATTAATAATTGTAGAAGGATCTCAAATGTCACTATGAATCAAGTAAAAGAGAATAAAACTTCTTTTGTTATTAATTGAAAACGACACACGTCTGTGCTTTGCAAGTTCGCAAACATCACAATGAAAATCTTTAACATTTAATCCTTTGAACAAAGAAGGAAACATGTTTCTCAAAGTTCCAAAAAAAAGATGTCTACGATGAAAATGATAAAGTCAGATTTTATCTTTATTAGAAGATTTTTCAAAAAAAAATGATAAAGGTAAACTATTTTTGATATTACTTGTGTTGTTTGATGTCTTAAGATAGTATAGTCCATCATTCTCCTTAGCTAGTTCAATCCTCTTCTCCGAATTTTGGTCATGAAATTCACAATAAGAGAGATAAAAAGTTATTTTGCACTTCATATTTTTGGTAAGTTTTTGTATAGATATCAGATTAGTAGACAATCCAGGAACATGAAGAACATTTTTAAGAACAAACGAGGGATTAATTTGAAGATCTCCTAATCTTGTCATTGTAGTAAGTGAACCATCTGTAACAACAATTTTCTTTTTACTAGGACACAAGGTATATGTACTAAACTTCTGTAAGGAATGTGTCATATGGTTTATGGCTCCTGAGTCAATGACCTAAGAACTCGTAATAGGCTTAACTGAAATATTTAATCCATGAGAATCATAAGCTTTACTTAAACTAGAGACCTTACTTAAGGAACATACCACAGTAGGCTTTTCATGGGTTTTCAATAGGTTTCTCAGCTTTTCAATCTCTTCTCTATCCAACTCTCCTTGTTTCTGAGACATCTGTAGTACTCCGATGATTTTTCTAGTTGATACTTCTTCAAATTGGTTGGTAGTGATATCTTTCTTTGAATTGAAACAAGTCTTAAGATATAACCAAAAATGACTCTTAGCAATGAAGGGTAAAGAAGGAAAAATAGAATGGCTATGAAGGCCTAAACAGGGTTCGACAATGAAACCCTAAAATAGAAGTTAGCAATAAAAGCTGAAATTTTGCTTCCCAAGAAGAGCTTAAAGCTCTGATACCATGTGAAAAAACTAAGAAATAAAATTGTGTGAAAAACTAAGAGTAAAACTAAATGTATATTGAAAAATTGCTCATTAAGAATTATACAAGAACTTTAGGTTTATATACAACTAACTAGAGGTTAAACTAGAAAAATAAATCTTCTTAAAAACTGATCTTATAATTGAGAGATTGTTTATCCTAATTTTTTGTCCTTAATTTTAGGGATACAAATACTTAATTTTAGAGATACAAATATAAATATATAGATTACAAGATTACAACCAGCTGTAAATAAGTGTTTTCTCACATAATGTCTAAAGGAGCTTGGTTGGATTTCAGGAGGTCTCTTTCATGGAGGAGCTCTACCTTGGTTTTATATTCCTAGTGGTCTCATTTTCAAGGCTATATAAACCTTTATTCTTTAAGTAACAAATTTTGGCTGTGCTGTCTGATTGTTCTTTCTAAAACTCAAAGTCACTTCTCTTATGATTTGACTAGAATCTTTGCATTGTTCCAAAAAAATTTTAAACAAGATTGTCTTCTCATGTTTACATATTCACCTCTCAAAATAGTAAATATATCTTCATTTATTGGTTATTTGAATGTTATCCTTTACAAGATTTTGTTTGACTGAAGCACATTCTTTATCCAATAGCGTTAGGAAGGCAGAAGGCTTTGTTTCTTCTCAAGAACTTGATACTGATGTTTAATCATGCATTTCACAAGTTTTATTCACTATTCTGTCTTGTACAGCCTTCGCAATCTCATTTCATAGGTTGCTATTTTGATTCGGCTATTTATAAAGTCGTTGTCCTGCAATTTCTCTGGAAATAACATCCTTCAGAAAACAGGTTCATGATGAAGTAATCTTGGAAGGACCAAGGGATTCAGCTGAGATTGCAAAAGCAATTGTAGTTGAGTGCATGTCAAAACCCTTCAAAGGAGGAAAGAACATTCTTAAAGTTGACTTAGCCGTTGGTGCTAAGTGTGCTCAAAGCAGGTATGCTGCCAACTAGATAGTGGTTCTGGCTCAGACAGATGTAAATCCTGGTTTCAAGCACTTTGTTGGAAGATGCATTTTTCCCTTGAAGAGGGATGTCGGAGCTTGAGTTATCTTCCTTTTCTTCGCTGCTGCAGTAATTTAATATGTAGGACTCTTAGGGAAGCATGAGCTGATGCGGCATTTCCTCACCCGTTCAGTGACGGGGCCCTTGGGTTCTTTGCGGATGAAGGGCATGCTTTGGGGCATATAGTTGCATTTTGAGGGCATAGGGAGTGCAGCGCCATGTGTATAGAAAATTTTATTGTTCTCATTAGTTTGTTCCTTGTAGAATTCTAACAATACTTTATTCTTTATTCTTTTCTCAAGTGAGAAATGAAGATAAAGCTTGATTGTGTTTCCTTCTATGTAGTGCATACTGTTTTATAGTTTTATACGATGGATGGTCTGAGTGTTAATAGAAATGTAAAATGTCTGAGGCATCAGCAAGCTTCAACCTTTAAAAGATCCTGTCTTTGTAAAAAACATCTGAGCCTAGTTTGCTTTATGTTAATCAGAGAAAACATGGAAAATAGAAGAAAAACCTGCCAAGAACTCGTTGCTTTGCCTGTCTAAAGTAAAAAGGCAGCAATCAGCATGGAACAGATGTTTATGTAAACTGTTGACCTGAAGCCATGGAAATGCTAAAGTTTTTGACTGGATGCATTTTGCAAGTAATCTAGTTAGACAGAAATATTTGAAATAGTAGATGTAGGGACCAAGTCTTGTTCAAATAAACCGTTGTCCCAGCATTAGGATATTTTTTCCCCTTGATTGCCTCAACCACAATATACCATTTGATACCTTTTAGTTGTCTTCCTTTTTCATGTTATTTCATGTATTGATTATAATATAAATTCACATTACAGATGGAACTCAGGATTCTTGCACATCTGACTGACTGTAAAAGCATGTTGGATGCCTTCAAAGCTGGTGGGGATTTCCATTCAAGGACTGCAATGAACATGTGCTCTCATATCCGTGAAGCTGTTGAAAAGAGGCAAGTTCTTCTTGAGTGGCATCCTCGACCTGGTGAAGAGAAACCACCAATTCCACTTTTAAAGGTAAAGTAAAAATCTGTAATCAAACTTGGTTATGGGTATTCACTGAATGGTAGAAAGAGAAATCTGTTTCAAGGTTTTCATTTGTCATCAGCAATTTCTTTTGTCCTCCTAGCTAGGTTGTAAGAATCTTCAGGATCCTGGCTTGGTAGAATCTTCTGGATCTGTTAATAGTACATCGGTAACAGACAGAGATATCCTAGAGAACTGGAAATTGCTTGACGTGTTGTCTCAAGGAGGTGAGAGGCAGCAATTCTTTTGCCCTATCCTGGCTAAGTATCTGAGAATTTTTTTAACAAGCCTTTGGCAGAACTAAAACACCTGCTGTTATTTGCTTAAAGAACGGAGGGATCAAACTTCTCACTTTGCCTAAGTATGATATACAGAAAGATGGTGAAGATCTCATGAAAAGGATTGGGCTAGAAATTGTTCAAAAGATTATATAAACATATTGAACTTGTAACCTTTGTCCTGTATACTTTTATTAGATATTTTGTCATATCCATGATTGTGATTCAATTATGACCTAAATTGCTTTTGCCATTTAAAAGTTACGAGTATTTGATGTTTTGCTTTGAAATCATTCTTTCATTTTCATTAGTTTGCTCAACATAGTTCATATATAAATGTAAACTTGAAATTGATTTTGAGTGGCTCCTAAAAAATGTGCAGATCTTAGGAAATTATTACCTAATCTTATTGTAATTAAGATTTATTTCAATTGCTGAATCCAACTGGGTTGAAAATTGTTCCTTTTTTTTTTCAGGATGCCTTTGCTTCTGAAAGAAGAAAAGCTAAAATGCTCAACTTTTCCATTGCATACGGAAAAACTCCCATGGGACTCGCTAAGGATTGGAAGGTATTCTTGGAACCTAAAAGAACAATTAAAACTTAAAATCCATTAAGCCACAAAAGGTAATGATGATTGCACCTCTCTCAGGTTTCTGTAGAAGAAGCAAAGAACACAGTTGATCTCTGGTATAAAGAAAGGCAAGAAATGCTCGAATGGCAGAAACAGCGTAAGTATGAAGCTGCGAAACACGGGCATGTTCAAACATTACTTGGAAGGGCTCGCCACTTCCCATCATATGCTCATTGTACACGAGCTCAAGAAGGCCATATTGAAAGGGCAGCTATCAATACTCCAGTGCAGGTTTTGCTCTTCTTTCTCATGCACTCATCTCTCTCTCTCTCTCTCTCTCTCTCTCATCTAGATGAGTTTTACAGGGAAGTGCTGCTGATGTTGCAATGTGTGCCATGTTACAAATATCTAAGAATAAACGTCTAAAGGAGCTTGGTTGGAGGCTTGTTTTACAGGTTATGCCTTTTATATTTTCTTTATATTTCAGGTCTCTTTCATGGAAGAGCTCTACCTTGGTTTTATAATCCTAGTGGTCTCATTTTCAAGGCTATATAAACCTTTATTCTTTAAGTAACAAATTTTGGCTGTGCTGTCTGATTGTTCTTTCTAAAACTTAAAGTCACTTCTCTTATGATTTGACTAGAATCTTTGCGTTGTTCCAAAAAATTTTTAAACAAGATTGTCTTCCCATGTTTACATATTCACCTCTTAAAATAGTAAATATTATCTCCATTTTATTGGTTATTTGAATTTTATCCTTTACAAGATTTTGTTTGACTGAAGCATATTCTTTATCCAATAGCGCTTAGGAAGGCAGAAGGCTTTGTTTCTTCTCAAGAACCTGATACAGTGATACTGATGTTTAATCATTGCATTTCACAAGTTTTATTCGCTATTCTGTCTTGTACAGCCTTCACAATCTCATTTCATAGGTTAGCATTTTGATTCAGCTATTTATAAAGTCGTCCTGCAATTTCTCTGGAAATAACATCCTTCAGAAAACAGGTTCATGATGAAGTAAATCTTGGAAGGACCAAGTGATTCAGCTTATATTGCAAAAGCAGTTGTAGTTGAGTGCATGTCAAAACCCTTCGAAGGAGGAAAGAACATTCTTAAAGTTGACTTAGCTGTTGATGTTAAGTGTGCTCAAAAATGGTATGCTGCCAAATAGATAGTGGTTCTGGCTCAGACAGACGTAAATCCTGGTTTCAAGCACTTTTTTGCAAGGTGCATTTTTCCGTTGAAGAGGTATGTCGGAGCTTGAGCCGTTCTCCTTTTCTTCGCTGCTGCAGTAATTTAATATGTAGGACTCTTAGGGAAGCCATGAGCTGATGCGGAATTTCCTCACCTGTTCAGTGACGTGGCCCTCGGGGTTCTTTGCGGGTGAAGGACATGCTTTGGGGGATATAGTTGCATTTTGAGGGCATAGGAAGTGCAGCGCCATGTGTACAGAAAATTTTATTGTTCTCATTAGTATGTTCCTTGTAGAAATCTGACAACACTTATTCTTTTTTCTTTTCTCAGGTGAGACATGAAGGTAAAGCTTGATTGTGTTTCCTTCTATGTAGTGCATACTGTTTTATAGTTTTATACAATGGATGGTCTGAGTGTTAATAGAAATGTAAAATGTCTGAGGCATCCGCAAGCTTCAACGTTTAGAACAGCCTGTCTTTGTAAAAATCTACATCTGAGTATGTTGATCAGAGAAAACATGGAAAATAGAAGAAAAACCAGCCAAGAAGTCGTTGCTTTGCCTGTCTAAAGTAAAAAGGCGGCAATCAGCATGGAACGGACTTATATGTAAACTGTTAGACCTGAAGCCATGGAAATGCTAAAGCTTTTGACTGGATGATTGTTGTAAGTAATCTAGTTAACAGTAAATATTTGAAATAGAAGATCTAGGGACCAAGTCTCGTTCAAATAAACCGTGATCCCAGCGTTGGGATATTTTTCCCCTTGATTGCCTCAACCACAATATACCATTTGATTGTAACTTGCAAGTACCTTTTAGTTGTGTTTGTATAGTGTTTTTTTTTTTTAATTATTTAAAGCTGACAGATATTGAACTCCAGTCATTAGAGATAGAGTTTCATTTTGCTTATAACCCAAACATATTTTACCTTGGTCAAAATTGGAAGACAAGTGCTTTTTGCAAGTTTTTAAGTAAAAGACTGCAATATTACACTTTACATAATCTCTTCATGACAAATCTATTGGCTAAAAGGTATATCACTCATGACTACATTTACATGAGAGGCCACTATCTTGCCATGACATACAAAAATGTATAAGTAACCTATGCCAGCTTTGTATCAATCAATAGTTTAAAGCCCAATGCCATGATAGAAATTTTTACAACTTTTTTTTTTCATTCACTTACCATTTACTTACATGTAAAATGAATGTAGTGAAAACAGCAACCTAATCAAGAAGTTTGCATGCACAACACACGATTCCAAAACCAGTACATTACTTATCAAACTGTTGCAGCTCAATTCCCCAGGCCGATGCCAACTGCAATAGAAGTTGGTCAGGCGCCGCACCTTCCCAATCCTCTGGTGGATCCATTGTGGAAGCCGCCTCATGCAAATTCAACAAAAGCTCTTTCTTCAACTCCATGGGAATACCCATGGCGGGTCCATTTTCTAACACCACTTCGACCAGCTGAAAAGTTACAGGAGAAATAGAAACTAATAAGAAACTTAAGAAAGAAAATGTCTAAAAATAATCAAAAGATTATGAGCCCATACCTGTTGAATCCAGGATAGACAGATATCAAACAAATCTTGCTCCAGAAGAAATTGCACAATAGCATACAAGGCCTCATTTGCTATCTCATTTGATAGTTGGTCAACCATAGGGCCTGATCTATCCATTAGCTTTATAAGCAAGAGATCATCCCCTGTAGACAGAACTTCTGCATACGCAGAATCCATATCACCTACTTGAAGAGCATGCATTGCGTTACTCCAAGAAGTCCAGACTGGATCTCGCTCTGCTCCAACATTATCATCTCCAACAGCTTCAGCGGTCAATTCAGGAACACGTCCTGTTCGGGATGCTCCACTATCCTCCCCAGCTACACGAATCGCTTCCAAGGTAGCTTCATCCTTTGATGCTTGCCATACACTTCTAGCAGAAGGCCCTTCACCAAGCCTCACAGGCACGGGACCCTTATCCCAAGCTCTCCTGCCACCAACCTGATCACTCTCATGTTCTGATTTAGGTGATCTACCATCCAGGCTGCCACTAGCTGGAGCTCTTCTAGATGCAACTTGCCCATTTCTGGAAGCACCAGATGCAGGGAAATCCCAATCATCAGACATTTCAGATCTCCAAGAAGGTACCCTTCCCCTCACACCTGGAGCAATTCCATCAGATTGGGCAAATCTTTCTCCAAATGGAATTCGCCCACTGAACTTGGAACTATAGTCAGAGAAGCCATTATACTTCCCTAAAGGTCTATTAGAAGATCCTTCAAACCCCGCCATAAAATTACCACCTCTCCTGCCTGATGATATTGATAAATTCCTAGCCATGTCTTCAACAATTCTCTCAAGACCCCTAACTCTGTTCTCCAAAGTTATCATGCTATCATGAGAACCACCCATAAAATCCTGCAACATAACAAGGAATCCTATCAATCAGAAGAGCCTCACAGGAAGCATGTTCTAACTGCAGAAGTGAGAAATACCTGCAACATGTTCATGAGATGTGCTTGTTGTCTCTCCAGCTGCAATAACTGCCTCTGGATAGCCAACCAATTTCCTTTGTTGCTGATAAAGGATCCTTCAGATAGTCCATCCACCTTCAAGAAACCCAAACGATTTCCAGTTGGCTCCCTTTGATTTACATCTATCCTGTCATCAACATCAAATGCCCTTGTTCTTAGGTCTTTTCCAGTTATCTTCTCTTCAGGCCATTTATCCTGTACACCAGCAGCTCCTCTCTCTATTTTACAGTTTTTGCTGCTTGAAGATGCATGAAAATCATCTGCCTGGCTGTTTCCCATGCAATTCGACCTTCTCCTTGAGTCTGGATCATTTTGGTCTGATTCTCCCTCATTCTTTGAGTTTGAAGAATTAAGATATCTACGAGGAACAACTACTTCAACTGGCAAATCACCAGAACCCCTTGTTTCAAGTTTCTGGAAAAATTCAGGATTCAACTCTTTATCCGTTAATGCTGGTGCTTTCTTCTTTAAAATTACAACAGCTTTGTCAGGAATGCTTCCACCTTTGCCTTTGGAAACAGAATCTGAAGTAGGGGATAGATTATTAGATGAATCCTTTGCTGATGGATTTGTTTTCTTATCACCAGCATTTGGATTTTTCAAGCCATTTTTTTCCAATGATTCAGCTGATTCAGGGTTGTCACCGTCTACAGCATTAATTGAAATAAATTTATCCAATAAGAGAAAAGGATTAAACATCAGACGGACAACCCATAAATCTTAAAAGCAAATAACTAGTATACTTACCATGAGACAAGGCTTTCTGGTCATCTGCAGCTCCATCTTCCCCTTTCCCTGCAATCTTCTTCCACAATTGCAATGCTTCTGTCTTGCTATCTCTCACAGGTTTCATCTGTTTAACCAATGATTAAACATTATTCAACACAATAAAAATTCCACAAGGCAGTGATGAGTAATGTAAGTCTACGATATATGCACCATTGGAAGAGGCGATGCTGAAGGATAAACACTCAGGAACAACATCATTTAGAGGACCACAATGCATGAGTTACATTGTTTAGCAAGGAAGCAGACAAAATCATTGTCTTCCTGAATCTTAAAGCACCAAAAGTCCATTCAAACCAACCCGAAAGCATGAATTCATCCATTCCAAACCACATCATCTATTAAACCTAAACACTTTCTACCACATAATTATGGGAATTCTAGATATTCCAAGTTCCCACAAAAAAGAAAACCCATGTTGAGAGATAAGACATAATTTGCCCTAAATCAAGAGACCAAATTAGTTCATGAAAGAAGAAGTAGATGGTTCGGAAAAGTGACATCTAGAGAGCATCAAAATTTAATAACCACAGATTTTACATATGGCATCCAGTGTAAAAATACAAAACATTATATGAAAGAGAAATGGCTCCAGAGAGCTACCCTGTCAAAGCGGCAACCCTCCAGTACAGTTATCGTCGAAGCTGCTGCATCTGCAATCAGGTTGCTTGAATGAAGTGCCAAGGCACTTAAAGTATCAGAAGCTGCCTTCCGTGTCACCCAATCTGTGCTCCCAAGGCATTCATGGATGCTTTGCAGTAAAGCTTCCAAGCTCTGAGGTGCAATTGCTCCCACCTGCAACAAGGTCATCATAATTTTTTCAGAACTTCAGCTTTTTCCTATTTATGAAATTCTTCAAAGTATTAAAATGTATTCTCCACTCAGCTACCTAATTTATGCGATCAAATTAAAAAAATGTATATCACCAGCCAGATAAACAAGCACATGGTAAACCGATTAAGAAACTACAAGACTTTCATTTAAGCTGCCATTTCACATCCACAAAACTAACATAAATAATCAATATTCTTATGAATTAGACAATGTACATGAACAAAATCAAGCTAAAAACAACTACATTGCACAAACCTGTGACAAACTCGCCACTACCAGCAAAAGAGAAGCCTTGGCCATAAAATTTTGATTATTCAACAGCTTGCAGATCCTTGGACACAGCTTTTGAAAAGCACCCAAAGGAGGATCAGCTGCACATTCCACCATCTTAGCTATACACATTGCTGCACCAGATTGCACCCCCTTGTTTTGTTCCCCCATTGCTTCAAACAATGGCTTTACAAACAATCCCACCACAGTCCCTCCACTCTCCCCTTTCAAGTACTGCCCTGAAAGGGCCCCAATGGAATCGCGGCAAGCATCTTTCACCGCCGAATCAGCATCTTTCAACCTTTTAACAATGTGGGCAATGATTTTAGTCAAATGAGAAGCTGCCAATTCACCATGGCAATTACATAGCATTGAAAGCAACCTCAAAGATTCTTTCTTTACAGCTGGTTTTGGATCATTGGAAGAATCAAAAAGGCAATTGAGTATCATGGGAAGCGAGTCAGGGGAAAGAGATTGGATGATCTTTTCAAGATCTTCAACGGCAATTTGGTAAGTGTCACGGTCAGAAAGCTTGGAAAGTGAGGTTAAAATCCTTTGCTTTAGCTCTACCATTGCAAGGTGAGAAGAAAGTGAAGAGGGTTTTGGAGGATTGGAAGCAGGTAAAGTCGAAGCCTTTGATGGTTTTGTTGATTTGGGTGCTTGGGAATTACTCATTGTCAAAAGAATAAGTAAAAAACAATGGGATTTCAGAGATTGAAACAAAGGGGGGCGAAAAAAAAAAAAGAAAGATGAGATTTTGAGGAAATGGGATTTTACAGATTTAAACGAAGAGAAAAAAGATGGGATTTTGAGGAAATGGGACAGTTTTCTACTGACAAAAATAAGGGTTTTTTATACATTGAAAGGGAAGTCGATGATGGAGGAGATTTTTGGAGTTCAATGGGAGAAAATGTGAGAATCTCTAAAGAGGAAATTGGGATTTTTGAGGCTGAAATGAAGAAAAAAATTGGATTTTTGAGGAAATGAAATTTTCATAAGAAGTGAAAAGAAAAAAAAAAAGAATGGGATTTTGCATACATTGAAAGAAACAATGATGAAGAAAATGATTTGAGCGTTCAAAGAGAAGAGTCTTGAGAAAAGACTAAAGAGATGGCGTAAGAGTTAAGGGAGAGAGAAAGCTGAGATCTGCAGCGAATGAAGGGAAAAAAGAGGAGATTTTGATTTTCTTTTTTAAATCAAAAACTGTCTTTTCTTTCCAAGATTTGGTGAAAAAGAAGATTAGAGGGACCAATCAAGATTTAAATTTAGAACCGATAATTTAAGATACATACAGTGATAAAAATAAATAATATAAAATCTTAATAATTATTATATATAAATTTAATAAAATTAAAAAAATATTTTATATTTTTATATTTATATAAATTATTATATATAATTTTTATGTAAAATAAATATAAATATATAAATTTAATATTTCACTCAATAAAAATACATAAATTATGTGATCTATTTAAATTTGATAATTAAAACGTTTAACTTATTTGTGGATGGTCTGCGGTTAGGGTTTGTCGTGATGAGAAGATCATGACCGTTGATTTTGATTAATCAATTTTGTAATGTAAGTAATGGGGGCCCACTAATGAGAAATATGGGACCATAATTTTTAATTATATGGGACCCTTAAAACATGGCATAACAAATGATTCATCATCAAGAGATTAGGGAAAAAAAAAAAAAACCACTTTTGTTTGTAGAAACTTTAGGGTTGAAATTTATTAGGGTTGTTGGTTGAACTTTTTTTTTTCCCCAAAATTATTGTAACCAATCATTGGCATTTCTTTGTTGACTTGACTTTAATTTTGTGTGGATAACACGTTTTAATTTTTAAAATAATAAAATTTTTATATATTATTAATAAATTAAATGATATTATTTTATTAATAAAATAAATTAAATAATATTATTTTATTAATGAATTAATTTTTGATATCATATTAATAATTTTTGTATATATATAAATAAATTAATATTATCTTATTTACTGATAATATATTAAATATAAATTTAAAAAAAATTAGAAAGATCAAATTCTTAATTTATAGTATAAGAGGGATGGTTTTTTATTAGACGCTATTGCCAAATAAAAATCAAATAAAAAATTATACTTTGATATTTTATTAAAATATAATTTATTAAAAAATTTATTGCATGATATCGTTTTTTTTTTTTGATAAATTATACTTTAAAAGTTTAATGTTTGCTAACAAACCCTCTTTACAGAATAATTTTGTACAAAATACAATAAATGGAATTTCTTTTTTAATAATTGTTCAAATAATTTTTTAATTAATTTTTATTTATTTTTGTATTAAACTTAAAATCAGTAAATATCAACCATAAATCTAGGTAAAAAGTGCATTATTAACCAATGGATAAAATAATGGAAATATTTTTTAAATAGTAAAGATAAAATTTTTTCCAATAAATTTAAACCTAAAAATAGCTAAATCAGAACATATATGAATTACAAAACCTCAAATTTTTTTTTTTTAAAGAATTACAAAACCTCAAGTGAATTACTTTTATTACATGGAAGGTCAATGTAGCAAATTTAGGTAACAACTTATTATAGGAAATATGAAAAATGTCATTAAAAATATGTTTTTCCTTATTGTAAACCTACCAAAACTTAATGCAAGTAATCTTATGTTTTTTTGTTATTAAAGTACAAAATTTTTAGGAATGAATGATAAGAACCCAAGGTGTAGCAACATTTAAAGAAGAATTTGATTTCGTAATTGTCATAAATTCTTCAAGGTTTATATTCTCTTGTCTTAACTTCAAATTTATTTAATATTTTTTTAATGATAAATGAGTTTTTAGATTTCATTCGATATATATTTTTTAATTAATTTAAATAAATTTATAAAAATTACCTTTGCTTCACTTTTGAACGAAAAAATTACTTAATATTACCTTAAGTTTAATTTTTTTACGTGTGATTTATATAATAATGTTAATATTATTGATAATAAAATTTTAAAATTTTACAAATAAAATTAAAAATATGACGTATATTTCTTAAATTATATTTAAAAAATAAAAGATAATTAAAAATAAAAATGAAATATATGTTAATTCCTTTATGAAATTAAAAATTTATACCAATAATTATCAAATACTAAATCCGTTTAACATATGCTTTAACTAATGATTTTAAGCTTTTCAACTTATAATCTTTCAATTTGTTTTAAAAAAGATCGAGTTGAAGATATAGAATATATATTCATGGAATAACCGAAATCTTATCACCTAAGATATTTTTTGAAATGTCTAATTATAATATAAAATATACTATCGATGAACTTATCAATTTTTTTTTATGGAAATGATGTCCAGCAAAATTTTTCTTCAAAATTTCTTATTTTATAATGTTTGGGGGTGTCCATGGACATGCTACTTTCCCGTTTGTATTTGCAACTGCCTTCTTAAAGTTACCAATAAATTGCCGACATAGTTGGTTGACGTGAATTGATAAGATTAATATTTCGTATGTAAGATTTAAATTTAATTTTTACTGTCAATAATTTTATTTAATAAATAATTTATAAATTTAATATAAATCTTCATTGAGATTTACTGTATGCCATAATATTGAAATGGAGTAATGCTTTCGTCTAAACTATGAAGTATCAAAAAAGTTATCAGTAAGTACATAGAATTGAATCTCATTTTTTATTTTGGAAATAATAAATTGTTAATTTTAAATTCGATAATTTTATACACGATACGATGACATGACACGAAAATAATACGAAAAAAATCTTTTATGAGTTTAATGTAATCATATTTTGTGTCTTAATCGTATCGATATAATTAAAATACGATATTATTCGTGTTGTGTTTGTGTTAAATAGTAATGACATGTTTAAAACACAACATTATATATAATATAAAAAGAATTTAAAAATTATTTTAATTTATTTAAAAAATAAATTAATAATTATATTTATTATATCATTTTGGTATTTGAATAGGTTATAAATATTTAATTTTTAAATAATTTTTAGTTTAAATAGTAATTTAAATGATATTTTTATTTAAATAAATAGATTAATCATTCTAATTGTATTATTCATATATAATTATGTTAATCATGTAGCGTTATGTCGTATTATTTGGGTAATTAATTATATCTAATCGTATTATATCATTTTGTGTTTGTTTAATATAGCTTAATTTTAAATGTATTAATTATATCATATCGTGTGTAATATATATAATAAATATGTCGTATTCGTATTTAAATTATTTATATTATTTGAATATTTGTATTATATTTGTATCAAAATTATTTATATTATGTTTAAAATCATATTTGATACAAAATACAATACGATAACACTAATTATCAGATTTAATTAATTCTATTAAATTGACACAAATGGATAATTATTTACTTAAAAAATACTACACATTGGCATTCCCTATTTTCTTGCCCATGAAAGGCTTAGAAATGAATAATGCAAGAAAATTTAAAATTATGATCTAATATAATTTTTTTTTTTTTCATACAATCAATTTTAGAGTTGTGGGATATAAGATTTAATTTTGTTATTATTGTTGTTGAAAAATTTAGACAAATACCGATTCGATCATTGGGCTTGGGAGCTGTGAGAGTTTCCCAATTTTATGGATCTTGAATGGGTTTCACAATCCATGACTAGGCAAATCAGGCCAATCATAAATTCACAGTCCAAAGCCCCAATCGAAAACATGGCCCATGAACCTTTTTTTTTTTTTTAAATATATGCAGCAAAATTGAGCCATGAAATTTCATTTTCTTATTTAATGTTTTACTTTATTGAACGAGTCAAAATTTTCTCTTGGCCAAAAATTAAAATTGAGCCAAATATTTCTATATCTTTGTATTTTCCACATAACATTGGTCTGACTCTGGCTTTTAATAAAATCAAGGTTGTTTTTAACACAATTTTATACTTGTAACCTAGCTTTACATTCTTACAATTTAATTATCCGTTAGCAGATGCAGTTACAGTTTAAAAAATAATATATTTAACAGATTTAAAGTTTAAATTTCAATATTTATAAATTTTATTTTCAGATTATGAATCCTTCATATAAAAAAAATATTTTTTATTCTAAATCATAGGTAAAGTCTTTGTTTTTCTCTGGCAATGATAGCATGAATCTAGGCTTGCACTCAAGGAAAAAAATGGTTTTGATACTTTTTTTTTTTTTTATTAAAGTCAATATTTTAGGGTAAAAAATCAATTTTATTTTTAATTCAGAATGCATCAAGATTAATTTACATTGATATAAAATATTTTAATTTTATATTTTTTAATCATTAAATTTAATAGATCTGAGAGAGATAAATAAAAAATATATTTAAATTTATTTTTGAATTTATTAAAATTAATGATTAAAAAAAATATAAAAATATAAAAAATATAAATCTTTTTTTATAAGTTATCCCTCTGCTATCATATCAATTTGTATTAAAATATCGTTATCCAAAGTTTAGAATATCAATATTTTATACGTGGCAAACTACCATTGGTTATTGAAACATCGTTTTTGAGTCAGAGTTTAGTGCACTATGATTGGTGTAGGTTGAATGGTCTGACAAGACACGAATAAGACAATAACTTTTGCCAAAAGTTAGATTACAAATGCAAAGAAGATTATATATGGTTCTGAAGTTGACATAATAAAAAACACAAGTTAGAATTTTACTTGCAAAAATTTTCAAAGATTTTACTCTCAAACTCTTGAAAACTTGGTGGGTTTTGTTTTGTTTTTTTAAATTGTGTTGGTCAGATTCAGTTGAATGCATCACCTTCAACATGATGGAGTCCACACACTAATGTACTTGTTATAAAGTGGTAAGCTTTTTAATTTCAGTCTTTTATGATCTGTTAAAGTGTTTAACTTGTTGGGGTCTGATGTAAATGTGGAATGATTACTGGTAGTTGGAAGTTCTATTATGATGTTGAATATCTTGAAAGATTGATGATTTTTTTTTTTTTTTGGATTCCATGACTTGTTGGTTATTGGTTGCCTGGTGTTAGGTATATTTTCTTACTTTCTGGTTTGATTTATTTGGATAATGTTTCTTCAGGATTTGGTGCTGTTTCTGCTTGATTCTTGTTGGGATCAATGTTTTCTTTTGGTTCACGGTTTTGATTTTGTAATGGGATTTGAATCAAAATCTGGAAACTGGTTTGAAGATTAATTGCTCAAAAGGTTGATTCAGAATCCCAATCTGCAGTTTTCTATTCATATTTCAAGAACTAAATGAGATGAAATTTTCATGGGGGTAGCACTCAATTCATTATGGTTAAAGAACTGGAAAATTTCTTTTCAGTTCTTACGAGTCATGGGTTTGCTGTCTTTTTTTTTTTTTTTTTTTTGTTTTGGTCTTTATAACTATGGATATAGATTTTCTGGTTTAATTTGCTTTGAACTTAGCTTTAAAGCTTGAATGGAGAACCCTCAAGCTCTAGTTCTTTGAAGAACTAATATCTGTAGCTTTCTACTTGTTGAATACTGAGATACTTATGAGGAAATGGGTTACTTAAATTTGAAGAATATGAGCTGCATACAGACTGAAATTTGTAGTATAATTCCTTTGTTGATTCATTAGTTGTTGTTGGATGACAGGCTCTTGGACTTCTTTCGTTGCAATATCTTGCAAAACAGGCTTTGAAAGGCTAACACTATTATCAGCTCAGATTCTGACTAAAAATAGAGGAAACATGGTTCAAAAACTAGAAGCTATCAAGGGCGGTGGAGGATCGATTAAGGTAGGGACTACCGGGACAATCAGTTCCCTGATGACAAGGGAACTGGACTCCATTAAATCGGCACCACAAACACCTGTATCTTTAATACACAATCCTCAGACAATTCCTGCATCAGTTGCCTGTGGTTCTGCTGCTCCTAAAAGACTACAGCGGAGGAAATCATTGGATGGAGCAAGCACCAGTGGCAGTAGCAACAGCATGAGTTATAAAAGCCCTCAAACTGCCCAGAAGACGAAAAGCTTCCACAAAAATATCCATCAGATTCCAATGCTTGGCTCCGATAATATTGCTTTAGATAGAACTCCTAGCAGACAGAAAAGTGACAAAAAGGTATCTAAAATTGTTGAAGTTGTGGACATAAAGTGTGGGAATCCAGATAGAGCATGGGCAAGCCCTATAACACATCGTCTCAAGAAGCTTGGATTCTCTAAGCTTTCCCAGAGCATTGTCTAGACCTGCAACTTCTTCACATCAGATTTCAGGTTCCTATAACTGAAACCTGAAATCCCATCTGGCCTGTTCTCTGAGATTTCCACCTTAGAACATATCTGTGATAGTAGCTTGCCGCTGCCTCCCTCTTTTTCTTCCTCTGAGTTGCTACAACAGGCCCAACATTACGTCTGGATTGACTACTAGAGGAAGCATCATCTCTTACATTGGAATGAGGCTTCTTTGAGCTATCTCGGCAGCTCAGTTCAAACCGTCCGAAGTACTCAATCTCCTGCATCACCAAGGATCCCAAATTGCCTTTGGTGCCTATTTCAACAAGAGAATGTACAGTCATTTCAACTGGGACCTTTTTAGTACTGGTTTTTGATCTATGCAAGCTTTGTTTGATAGGATTGAAGGAGGGTTGTAGATGAAGAGAGGTTGTTCTTCGTGTTGTCTTGATGGGGAAATTTCTTTGAGACTGGGCCATTTGGTGTTTGGCCTTATACCTTGTATCTCCACATGAGTTCTTTGCCTCGTTTTCTCTATCTAAAGTGAACAGCCATAGATTTTTGTCTGGTTGGAGGATTAAACGATGGCCTGCTCATTGTATTCATGTGCTTGCAGTTAAAACATTTAAGCTGCTAAACTACTGTGCCTCTTTTCTTTTAACTACATTGGGTTTATTTTAATGTTGTTTGGTGCACATTAGGGTCCATTGCCTACTGCAGACTAGGATTGAATAGTGAGTTATGTAGCCTTTTTTACATAGTTTCCGAATTAGAGACAACAGATATATTTGGTTAGTTTCTCCCTGCATTTAAACAGTATTATTCTCTAATCCATGTTCATTTTGAAGCATTTTGGATGCTTATCGACTAAAGTATGATAGGAAAAATGAAGAGTAAAAAGCTATATGACTTTTAATCTCATATTAGGTGAAATAAATGTTAAATGGTGCCATGAGACTAGAAAAGGAAAGTAACTGTTATGTCTTTACCGGCAACAGTGGCAAAGGGATTAGAAGAGGGTGGTCTGGTGCCTGGTGGGTGTGATCTGGTGAGCAACTTGAGTGCTTTTCAGGCATGGAAGTAGTTGTGGGGGGCTGATTTTTTTTTTTTTTTTTTGGAATATCATACTTCTATATCATGAATAAGATATCATGGTGGTCATGTTAGGGGAAGTATATGAGAGATGTCCATTATTAGTAACCGATGGAGAATGTGAACAGATTTACTAAAATTTTCAACTTTACCTCTTTGCGTAAATGAAAATAAAGAAGATGGCTCAACTTGTCAAGTCATCTGAACAGCCATGTCATAAAGTTAGCCGTTGAATTAGTTGCCAACTAGCCATGGACTGATGATTCTGAAAAGAGTAAAAAAGAGTGAAAGTGACAGATAAGAGTGAAAGCGATAGATGTTTGGTCCCAATGTTGACTGCTAAATGGGGGTTGCAACCTAATGTAGGCCTTTTTCTTTAATGAGCAAAATTATACCCTAGAGCCAATAATAGGTTTGTGGGTTTCTCTTTCTTGGGCTTCAATACTTTTAGTCAAGTGAAGCATTGGAAATTTGAAAATGGCATTTTTGTACATCTAATAATGGCACTGTAACAAAAACAATTTACACTAACATTACTTGGAGTGAGCCTCAATGAAGAAATAATAGTATGCTCCCTGACTGTATTGAAATGGAATGAAAATTGAAAAGCAACTTGGAAAATGCTTACATTGCTCGAGATTTCACAAGACAAAATCTGTAAATGTTGAAAACTTGAGGAGCATATGCCCCCATTGTAAATCTGCCTGTGTTAAAGAGACTTGAAAGTTCCATCTGTCTAACTGTCGCTTGGCTTCTACCATATCTTTCTGTGCTTTCTTTCTCCGGTAAAATATTGGACAATCCCGACTGCAAACATGATGAAGCATATGTTTATAACTAGAAAAAAAAAGAGAAAGGACTAGGAGGAAATGAAATCACACAATAGGCACGGTCCGGTGTTGGTGTTTTATATGTGCACTATACTAAGGCATTACGTATGCCATTCTAGGAGTCCCAATTTTACTGATAAGTAGTTTCAAGAATAAAAAGTCTACCTAAAACAGCATTAACATTGTTAATCACAAAGCACAGAGAGAAAGGAGATGGTAAAACCTAGTGCAGAGCACATCCTGGTGAAGAGAGCCTTGGCACTCTTGGCACTGTGTCCACAGCAGCCCAAAAAGCTCCTCTAGCTCCGACACTGCAGTCATTCCATAATATTGTAACGTCAAAAGACCTTGGTTACTCCAGTGGTAAATAATGTTATTTCATATCAGAAAAGCAATAAGGGAAAAGATGCCCACCTTAAGAAACTGTTTTATAGTAAAGTTCTGCCTTTCTTCCCTTGCAGTGTGAACAGAGTGTTCAATCTGTATTGCTGAGGGAAAACCCCAATGGTGTAACATTAGACTCCTTGCAGAAAAATACATTGGTATCTATACAGGCAAGATATATCAAGCGTTTGCATGCTTGTGCAGTAATCTATATGGCTATATGTAGGTGGCCTCTTTAAAGTTATTGCAGATAGTTCTAAAGAATTTTTACACCTATATATTTACCAATACATGTTTGGTATTTGAAGACTCCCTGAAGGGCTGTTCTGGTTTGATTATATTTCTCTGATTAGGTTTCAGAGTGAAAATGTGTGTGTGTGTGTGTGTGTGAGAGAGAGAGAGAGAGAGGGAGAGAGGAAAATAATGAAGCCAAACTAACCTAGATTCACTGTCAGGGAAAACCAATTAAGCGTGTACGGAAAAGAAAGGCGAAGCAAAGTCTGTTTCTAACCCACAGAAGAAGATAACCTCCACATTACTAAGTATTCAGACTATTCACTCTTCCATATTCAAAGAAAATAGCATGGTAAACCTAGCCTATGAAGCACAGAGTCATTCAAATTAAGACCAAGGTTATCTTAAGAAATGGTAATCAAAGAACAAAGTTCATCAAATTAAGAACCTTCAAATTCTTAAAAAGAATTTGCTAGAACTTATTAATCCATTAAATATACAACTAAAACATACAGGAAATCAGATTCATACCTAATTACTGCTTTGCAGCCAATGCAACTAAGTTGTTTCTTTGCAAATCTCATTATTCCACTGTTTGAAGGAGTTGAGATGGAAATAGATCTTGTGTGACTTCCATGGAGAAGTTCCTTGCTGGCGTTCTTCAAAATGTGCTAAAAAATTCTTAAAAGTGGCAGTTGCATTAACACTATTGTTAAAGAAGGAATAAGTTTTTTATAACTAAAATGGAGAGTATTAAACATCAAACTAACCTTGCTAATTTGATTTTCAAGGTAGTATTGAGGATCTATGGGGATGTTATTTTCTAGCACATAGATTGGATCTACTGACCTCTCATAAGCCTGGATTTCATGGACGATATTTTATACCAGAATACAAATAATATAATCATTAGCAAGATAAAAGAAATAATTTTTTTAAAGAAAAAATTGCCAACAAGATTACCTTGGCACCTTTTGCAGCTTTTATAATGACATAAGGCACCCGATCCCCAACATTTGGAGCAGTAGCAGCATCTCGCTGTCAATTATAGATTAAAAAAAATCATCCTAGTGCTCTAAAATCATCATCCTTTTAGAGAAGATATGAAATGGCGGCCTTAGAAGAAGACCTATATTACTGGCATCTAGTGAAGGCAACAACAGCACATTATATCATTTGGAAAATGAAAAAAAAAATCACCAATCACTATGGCATCTTAACAATTATCTAGCAATAAATGATAAAAAGCATACCGCATACTCAGCATGAAATTTACGCTAAGTACATGCAATATTGACTGTTTTACCAATATCTAAAGAAATCAAATACAAATCACCCAGAAGATAACACTAACATCATATCCATGTATTATAATAATGAGGTTCCCCTAAACATATATTATACGTAGCATGCTGAAAATGTAAAAAGAAAAAGCAAAATACCAACCTTGTGCATACGTTCAGCAAGTTCAACATGAGCAGCTTTTACCTCATAATCATCTCCAGTTTTTGTCAGAACCTGTTATGTAGGGGCAGGAACAAAGCTAAAATACAATGACTGGCACAGATTTATGCCAAGAATCATAAAAACTTCTAAAGACAGCCCAATGACTAAAGCACCATTGAACCAGGAATACAGGATATTTGTCTAACCTTAGTAATAACCAAAAGTGATAAATCCATACAATTCATGAGAAGATCTGAAATGGTATTCTTGACATACTGAACTGCACTAGGAATGTCTCTATCGATCAATATTTTGTGGAGGCATTCATTTACAAGGTTTTTGACCAATAAACAATTATCTCTTCGAACAGTTTCAATGCCTGTTCATGATAAATGATGAATTAGTAGTTAAGTTCACCAAAATTTCCAGAAGCTCACATAGTTGAGAAACTTCTTGTTTACCTTTGGTGTCCATTTTGTCAAACTTTTGTGGATTTGTCCAAAATAAACCAGCATATCTTTTCTTACTAATCAGAAGATATGGATAATAAACCTTCTCGAACTCCAGTTTGATGGGCTAAAAAATCAAGTATAGCCCATCCAGAAAAAAGGAAAAAGAACAAGAAAAGAAGACAATGTTAATAACAGATAAACTAATACCAAGCAAGTAAAATAGAGGTTGACAAAAGTACAAAAATATGTTTCAAGTAATAATTTGCTACTATTTCTTTAAATGAAATTAACAGTATCCATGGTCCCAAATGGTAACCTTCATCGTACATCAAGATTCAAGTTCAAAGATGACCTGAAATTTTACCCAAGTGCTATAAGTTAAGGTTCAACCAGTGGCAAAGCACTTCCACTTCCTATCTGAACTCTAGCCTGCCTGGGCTTTCTTCAATTGTATACAAAAGAAGATGAAACACTGGTTAAAATAAGAAAAGATGTACTTTTGTGAAAGTTCCACTAATGTATTCTGCAGCTTCTCTCCCCAAGTTCATTGCCACTTCAACATCAGGCTCGCCAAATTGTACCATTACTGAATCTGTGTCCCCATATATAATCTGATCGTAAAAATTGTTAGTTCTCCCTCTCCCACAGTATCCATAACAATAATGTGAAACAAGGCAATCAAGCAACAATCAAGGCATACATGCATGCCCAAATGACTCTAATCCCCTTGCCAAGAAAGAAAGTGAAATTACCAAACACCATTTAAGACAAACCAACCTAGGGGAAATTTCAAAATAGATGATATAGGACAGAAAAAGATGATCCATATGATGAGTGCATCTGAATCGCAGAAAGTTTTCAAATAGAAAACCCTTAAGATTCCAGCTTTAAACCATTAACCAAATGTTTAACCTCATTAACAGTTCATTTTGATTCATATATTGCATCAAGCATATGGGTATACAGCATTACAAATATAAGCCTTCAACAATAAAACATTACAACTAGAGGTTTTGAGATGACTTACCTCAGCATTGTGTTC